GAAGAAAACGTTGGATAAATATCGACCAGACACACATAATTACGAATGAGAGAAAAAAAACGAATATAAATGCGTGTGATATTTTTTCTCGTCCTTTTTTTCTCTTAAAAATAATCTTCAAAAGCGATTTTTTTATTTCGTCATTATTTGTGTAATGTAAAGTGGCTTTATATGATGACTTGATGTATCTGTTTTCTTTCTATTCTTTACAAAATTTCGACAAAGAAAAGAAATATACCAATATCGAATCATTATTTGTTTTATTCATATATGCTTGTGTTTTCGAAATACATGTTCGTAATACGACAAAAAGAAACAGTTAGTTAAGTTGGAATATTCCACATGAGAATGAATTGAAAGACAAGATAAAAGGAAAAAACCAATAAAAGATTAAATCATATAACAGAACAGAACAGAAACAAAAATAGACTGATAAAATTATCTAATCTATTAAAATTCTGTTAGATTATTTTCTTGATTTTCTGATCAATCATCAGTCACTTGAAACATTCATTGTGCATCATCAACATGAATCCAATCGAACTTCATCTCAGATTCTAATTGCAAATAGCAATTATACTTACGTATTTATATCATGAAGTAACTATACGAGAAACTTTTGACCTAGAGAATGATATCGAATCTAATATAGTTGCGAGCAGTTTATTAATACATGGAAGACAAGCTGTATAGAGTGTGGGTGTAGGTATTATCTTCTTTAGAGACTACACCGACACCTTTTATTGAAAGTATTCAATTATTATCTCGAAATTTTTTTAATTCAATTCAGTAGTTGTTTCAGCATCAATAACAATCTTTGAAATATTACAAAAAACTGTTGATTTTGACCTCTTAGATTATTGTGATGAAGAACAGTTCCAACAATTAATTGAAAATATCATTCGAAATGAAAACTTGATGTCACGTGTAACTGTTGAATAAGAATTCGAACGAATATATCAAAAATACAAATAGAATTTTCTAAAACACAAAATTTTCTTTTCAAATAATTTTTATTTCAATTCAATTCAAATTATAAAATATTTTCTTTTCTTTTCTCTTATAAAATTCAACAATAGATCCGAATTTTGCATTGATTTTCAACAATAAAACTTCGCTTTATCTTTTAATTTTATTTCTCCCTTTTTTATTTAACAAAAAATTTCATTCACGGAATCACTTCAAATTTTTGAATTCGATGATTCAAATAATCAGGAACGTATAGATTTCCTTCATCATCAAAAGATAAACCACTGGGAAGATTCAATTGATTTGATTGATTTCCTTTACCATTTCCACCAACAACAATTTCACCTTCTTCTTTTCCTTCACACCAACGCATTATTCGATGATTATGAGAATCTGTCACATAGATTTGACCTAAATCATCAACAATTACTCCGTGAGGTAAAGACAATTGATTGAGATTTTTTCCTTGACCATTTCCTCCAGCCACAATTCTTCCTTCTTTTGCATCTTTTCCCCATTTTATCACACGATGATTATTTTGATCTGATACATAAACACACTGATCTTCATCAACAAAGATATAAGTAGGATGATTGAGTTGATTGAGTCTATTTCCTTTTCCATTCCCACCTGCCACTATAGTTCCTTCACTGTATTCTCCCATTTTCCATCGTCTTACTTCATTCTTCACACCATTAGAAGCATAAAGGAATCCATATTTATCTATTGCCAAACCAAAACAGTCAATATTCTCAATGAGAACTTTTTGCTTTTGATTGAACCATAGAATTACTCGTCCATTTCCTTGGTCAGCAATTATGATCGAATGAGTTTGTTGATCAACAATCACATCTGTTGGATAATTCAATTGATCCATTCGATTTCCTTGCCCATTTTCACCGGCAATGATTTGTCCTTGTCTTGCATTACATTTCCATTCAACAATACGATGATTGAAATAATCAACTATGAAAATATTTTTGTTTTCATCAATAAAGATTCCTTTAGGGTAATTGAGTTGACTGAATTCTTGCCCAAGTCCATTTCCACCAGCCACAGTGATGGCATTTTGTTTCCATTTGTTGAATTTCGGTTCTAGAAAATAATGAAAATAAAACATTTTCATGAACATTAGAAGAAGAAATAGAAAAGATTAGCTTTCAATGAAACTTTGTTTTTGTTTTTTTATCAATCAGACCTTTTTTTTGAATTTTTGAAGAAAAAATTTTTAGGTAGTTTAACATTATTTCTTAAAAACTTACTTTTTGATAAAATAATTGAAATTTCATTAATTAATGATCGTGAATTTTGTTGAATAGACATATTTGATGGATTATTAAATTCTTTTGTAATTTCTATTAATTGATTACTTAGATGATTTAAATTAATTTCATTAAATTCCTTTTCTTTTTGAAATTGTTTTATTTGTTCATTTAAATTATTAAGTTTCATTTCAATTTGATTAATACATGTTTGTGATGATTTCATGAGAATTTCTCTATATTCCTGTGCTTTTTGTTGAATTATTTCAATTGATTTTATTTCCCATAGGTTAATTTGTTTTATTAATGAATGTTTTTGTGGATCTTCTTTTCGTTCATTTATTCTTTGTTTAAATTGATCATAATCATTAATAATATAGCTCAGCTCTTCACTTAATATTTGACGATGGTGTACTAAATCCATTAAACAAAAATATTTTGAACATCCTTTACAAGAATATGTTATGTTTTCTTTGTTACATGTAAAACATAGTGTTTTTTTGTTTGCCATTGCCACGTCTTTGAATAGAAGTTGCCAGAAGAAATGAATAATCTATTTATCTACCTTTATAAATATAAATTTAATAATTCAATGACAATAAGAACGTTGTTTACTAATAGAAGAATGTAGATGTTAGTAAGCTTTCATTGCTTCATACTTACACTCATGAATGCTTATTAGAATTAACTTAATCTAATTGAGACCTACTTAGAACAGAAAGATGAAGTCAAAAGCTCTGACTCAATTGTATTAGTACTCATATTAATATATCTTTTATATATGTAACACTTTCTTTTCATTCTTTATACCATCGTTTAACTTTCGTAGAATGTGTCGTTGGTGATTGACTCATGATAGATTAAAATACTCGTAATACCTTACAAATAAGAAATGAAAGAATGATACTCTTTTCCTCAATGCCTTTGAAAATATATCATCTTATTATCGAAGAAAACGTTGGATGTATATTGACTAAGCATACATAAATACGAATGAAAGAGAAAAAAACAAACATGAATATAATATTTTTTTTCGTCCTTTTTTTTCTCTCGAAAATAACCTTCGCAAGCGATTTTTTTTCTATTGCATCATTATTTGTGTAATGTAAAGCGGCTTTATATGATGACTTGATGTATCTATTTTCTTTCTATTCTTGACAAAATTTCGACAAAGAAAGGTAAACGAAGAAAAGGAATATACCAGCATTGAATCATTATTTGTTTCATTCGTATATGCTTGTGTTTTCGAAATGCATGTTCGTTATACGACAAAAAAAAACAGTTAATATCGTCTTTTCAAATAACTTTCATTTCAATTCAATTCAGATAACAAAATTTTTTTTCTTTTGTAAAATTCAGTAAAACTCAACAGAAGATGAAGAGTTTAACATTTATTTATTCGAATTTTCTAATTAAAATTACTAAATCAAATTCAGTTTTCATGAAAAAAAAGCCAAAAAGCTTTTTTTCGTTCTTTTGTCAAAATATATCTTTTTCGCTAAATTTTATTTTATTTTTGTCATTGATTTTCAGTAATAAAACTTCATTTTCTCTTTTGTTTTTCTTTTTTTCAAAATTAGAATTTCATTCACAAAACTGTTACAAATTTTTGAATTCGAAAATTCCAATGATCAACAACATAAAGATTTCCTTCGTTATCAAAAGATAAACCACCGGGACCAATCAATTGATTTGATTGATTTCCTTGACCATTTCCACCAACAACAATTTCACTTTCTTCTTTTCCTTTACACCAACGCATTACTCGATTATTCCCAAAATCTGACACATAAATTTGACCCAAATGATCAATAATTATCCCTTCAGGGTAAGACAATTGAGTCAGATTTCCTCCTTGACCATTTCCACCAATTACAATTCTTCCTTCTTTTGCATCTTTGTTCCATTTCATCACACGATGATTGTATTTATCTGATACATACACAGATTGTTCTTCATCAACAAACATAAAACCTGGAGAATTGAGTTGATTGAGTTTATTCCCTTTACCATTTCCACCTGCCACTATAATTCCTTCATAGCTATATTCTCCCATTTTCCATCGTCTCACTTCATTCTTCTTCCGATCAGAAACATAAAGAAATCCATGTTTATCCATTGCTAAACGAGAACAGTTAATACTGTCGATGAGAATTTGTTGCTTCTGATTCAACCATTGAATCACTCTTCTGTTCAAAGAATCAGCAATGATAATTGAATGATTTTGTTGATCAACAATCATATCTGTTGGCTCATTCAATTGATCCATTCGGTTTCCCTTGCCATTTCCACCTGCAATGATTTGTGCTTCATTTGCATTATGTTTCCATTCAACTATACGATGATTATAAGTATCAGCAATGAAAATATTTTTCTTTTCATCAATAAAGATTCCATGAGGGCCGTAAAGTTGATTCAATTCTTGTCCTTGTCCATTTCCACCAGCCATAGTGATGGCATTTTGTTTCCATTTACCCCATTTTGGTCCTAGAAAGAGATGAAAACAAAAGTTTTTTAAGGAAAAAAAAGAAGAAGAAAACTTGTTTTTGACCGAAGAAAAGAGAACAGATTAATTTTGGATGAAACTTTGATTTTATTTTTGTCAGGTTTGAATTTTGACTGAAATGTTGATAAACATGTTTAATGAAAAATCAAATTTGATTTGATATTTTTTGTTTAACTTTCAAAAGAATTTTATTAAAAAAACAAAAATCATTTGAAATTATTTATGTGGAAAATTAAAATGAATTCTTTGAAAAAAAATTTAAAGTGTATAGTTTTTGGACTCAAAATTTTGAAAAGAAAGAACTTCTGATTGAAAAATAATTTATTTTCGAAACAAATTGACAAAAATTTAATTTGAAAAGAAATTAGAAAAGAGTTGGTTGTTTTGTTTTTTGTTACATAAAAATTTGAAGGAAAAAAAAATATATTAGAAAAATTTATCGATAAAAACAATAATTTGAATTAAAAAATTTGTAAAAAATAAAATAAATGAATAAAAGTTTGGAATATGTCAATTCTTAGTTTTTTTTCTTTTATAACAAAACTTTACCATTCATTGTTGTGTCGGCTTTTTTAATGGAAATAACCCATATTGTAATGCTAATGATAGTTATCAGGCTAAGAACGACAATGATAATTAAAATCAATTTTGATTTTCGATGAAATAAACATCTAAAATGATAGATATATATTTCGAATAAATAAATCAAATACTTACGATCCTGTTTGTGGATAAGTAGATTGTTTAATATTGTTTTTATTCTCTGATTCAAACTAAATATTAAAAAATATTATTCATTTAGAATTCTTTGAAAAATGTTGATTATTTTCGCAACGAATAATTGAACTTGTTCAGTTTGTTAATCTTTTCTCAAATAATAATGAAGAAAATCAAATCTCTTTCAGAAATATTTTATTCCAAAAATGAATATTTCATCTATTTTTAAAATTTATTTTATATCGAATAAAGATAAGAATATATTTAACAGTTTTTTTAAATCCTCTGTAAAAATTCTCAAAAAAAGAAGCGAAATAAACAAACAATGATAGATCTAATCTTGATTATATATATTTATGTTTCTATGAATAAAAATTTAACTCGAATCAATTATTTCTATGTAGAATATTTTAGTTTGAGATGATATTAAAAATAATGCAACGATTTATGGTGATTTTTTTCTTATTGATGAGAATAAATTTATTGAAAAAACAGTTCGTTAGTAAAAAGTATTAGTGAACGTGAAATGTATTGATATTATTTAAAGTTTGTTTTATGCAAAGAAAAAATATCTATTATTTATTTCTATTTGTTGAGATAACATGTCTTTCATTGTTCTTAACGGAAAACATTCAAAAATTCCTTCTTATACATTCTACACATCTGTCTTTCGTACCATGAAAATAATTCTTTCAGATCTTTCTTTTTAACAAAGAATTTCTTAAAAAAACGAACTAATTCATGGCAAGGGTGTAAGTAAGGGTATGAGATTCGTCCCGCGCCCACACCTAGTCACACCCTCAAGGTGGTTTACTGCACAAAGGTCCCTCTCCTTTCTATCCTCAGAACTTCAATACTCTCTTTCAGATCGTGTTTCTCAAAATGGATTTTACAAGAACAACATTTACTACAGATAGAATCAACTGTTCTCTTGATCCTTCTGAAATAGTTATTGCATTTCATAACTTTTTCTGACAAACTCATACACATAAGAAATCTACTTTTTTGAATAAAACTCAGATAAAACATAACTAGAGGTGCTGGCCTAGCATTAGTATTAAGTTAGCATTAGGGTAGTGCTGATACACATATGATTTCTTGGCACACAACAAAACTGTTCTGCTCTTGAAATGATGATTCCTATAACGGAACACTTTTGTGCTGTTCTAAGATATCATAAGTATTAGCATTATCCTAGTTCCATCTTAATACTAACGCCAAAGGATGAGGTATGCCTCTAATATTAATTCCCAAACACTTAAGTGTCAAACTAATTCTAATACTGAGCCAGCATTCCTAAACACAACATCACTACTTCGCATTTTGATGATTCATCATTTGCACCCAACTCGATACTTACTCCTCCGTTTCCGTCAATGAGAGGTTGTTTCGAGTCCTTGTTTGGGTCATCAGGTTCAGTTATCTTCCCAAACATTGGCGGTGGTAATACTGGAGTTGTTACCTTGTTTTCTGGTAATGTTGGTTGTGGGTCTGAAAAGGTGAAATCAATTGAGAACAAATCTTAGAAATACACTACTGATGAAAAAATTATTAGTTTATTTCTCCTAAAAAAGGTAATTATATTATAGATATTGTGTAATGAATTTGGCCTCATCTGAATTTGTGAAAAGAACTTGGCGAAGAGAACATCCCGAAGTTATAATTATGAGAGCCATTTATCATCATAGAGATCACATCCATCTGACTAAGGAATTCTTCCGGCTGAAGTCACAAATGAAAAATACGCTTTTAAAATGCTTTATTTTGCCCAGTCAAAATTAAGAGTGCCGCTAACTGTAGCTGTAAGTGCATTTAGAATCGGGAAGTCATTTAGGACATATCATTTCTTACGGATGGAAATAAGTTTTTGATTGGAAAATATTTTTTCTTCTAAAACGGAATGTGGGTGTTGCTGTGACGAATGCGTGTAATCGCACCCACCCACACCCTCAAGATCAGCTATCTTAATTTAGTTTTCAAGCCTTCATATGTGTGTTTAATTGCAAGTGCACTATAATTAATGATACTAACAAAAAAACAAAAAGAAGATAACATGACCACGATAAAAAAATCTTGTCCTATAATTGTAAATCCGGAAAGGATGAGTCGTAGTCTCCCAGAATGTTTGTCCGCACATCCATGCTCCCAATAGTTCATATTTTTAACCAATCAGATGAGAATACACATTTTCTCCCTTATATAAAGGTCAGAGCACCATGATTATTCTATTAAAGTAATAAATATTGTAGCTCTCTTTCTCTTCCGTACAGAGACTCCTTTGGTTCTACTTGATAACGAGACAGAGTCTCCGGTCAAGAGAAAGGTACTTATATGAGTATTTGTACGAGGATGTGAATGTGCATACTGTATTCATTCGCATACACATCCACCTTCAAGATGGTAACTTCTGTTGTTGATCTTTACTCCACACTGGCAACGTATTCTATTTGTTAACATACCTTCCTGCGGAGAATCATTCGTACACGACACTGGGATGAGCATTGGTTCATCGGAGTGAACTTCTTGTAGTTGAATAGTTCGAAGATCGTTACCTTGATTGAGAATACCTTTCACTTGAAATTCAGTAGCAGCAAGCAATAGTACTTCGTCCTCGGATGGGAAATACGAGTGTTTTCGGATATCTCTAGCTGAATTGCAATGAATAGTAAACATTGTTCTTGCACCGTTCATGCCTAAAAATTGTTCTGATTGTAGAACTTTGATGGAAGTTGTACAGGAAGAAAAGCCCCACCATATGAATGTTTCGTCTTCTTTAAACTGTTCGCTTAAATCCAATTTGACGCCTCGATACACGGTTTTTGGAGAAATCGGTGGAAGGCGAAATAATGCTCCAAGAAAAAGGCGAAGAAAGAGAAACCATGGTTTAAGTTTCGTTCGATTTTCTAACCGTAGAGTAGCATTCAAAGCACAATAAAGGCATTCATTCATTGGCTTCCATTCCATTGAATAGAGCATGATCGAAGCTGATTCATCTTGTGTCAAATTGTCAGCCGGCTGCTTACATTTGTTTTTAGCCGTACGTACGTAACTTTTTACTCTTGGTAGTATAGATACGAGCGGTTCAACTGCTTCTTCAAGTGAAACAATGGGCATATTTTCGTAACCACTGATGGGCATAAGGAAATCCTTAGGTTCTTTTGGAATATCAGTCAAGCGTAGAACACGTTGAGCAACATATTCATCTTCACCACCGGTTGCCATACCGAGCACAAAGGACTAATTTAGATATAAGTTGTATACGACAGATACGTATCTGAAAAATAATCGAACAAGATTCATAAGTTAACGAGATAACGTTATTGATACAAATATGAAAATAAAAGAGCATTGTTAATTCAAGTCGATCTATTCTTTACTATGCAGAAATAGAAATGGGTGGCGGTCAGTAAACAAGAAATACCCACACACACCCTTAAGGATAAAGGCAAGGCAATGATAGAAAATAACTTGCTATCAAAACGGAGAAAAAAGAATGAATAAAACATTCGATAAACAACAACACACACGTTTAATATACAACATCTTTGACAAAGTGTGAAAAAAACACATCACTAAAATCTTGGTATGTTTTATTTTTTATTAGTTGCTTTCGATAAACAACTGATTTGAACGGGTGTGAGTGTATACATGTATTTATCTCACATTCACATCTATAAGAACACCCACATCCAAAACGAGGAATACTCTGTTAGAAATAATTTCTTGAAATTTACTTAGTGATAAAATAATTTAAATTTCATTGATAAATAAATGTAAATTTTGTTGAATAGAAATATTTCATAGCTTCCCAAGCAGACACGATTTTGGAAAAACGCGTTTTCACGATCAAAAAGTGTTCTTTACACGTCAAAAGCGCTGTTTTTAGCGTGTAAAGAACACTTTTTGATCGTGAAAACGCGTTTTTCCAAACTCGTGTCTGCTTGGGTTGTTTAATTCTTGTGTAATTTCTATTGATTAATTTTTTAAATAATTTAAATTTATCTCATAAAATTTCTTTTCGATAACATTAATGAATCTTTGTGAATATTTAATGGCAATTTTTCTACAATTTTCTGCTTTTTGGTGGACTTTTTCACTTGAATTGTTGCGAGTGAGTGGGTTTGGGTGTGGCTATAAGACGAACTGTGTATTCACATCCACACCCTCAAGATTTCTTTTCTGAATAGAAAGAGAAGATTTCAATTTTGAAAGAAAATATGAAATGAAGTCAACTTACTTCAACTGATTTTATTTGTTTTTATTGGCGTTATTGTTGTTAATAACATATGATATATTGATGATGTTGATGTTGTATGATTATTGTCATTATTTTCCTAATCAATCTCAATTAAATGAACAACATAAGATCCTTTTGGATGCTCTAATGCATCACTTTTTACACGAAATTCTGTTCCCACTCTTAAAATGATTGCATCTTCACTTTCATATTTCGTATAACCAGATACTTTTTTGCCGTTCAATGCTTCAATTAATAGCGTAGTAGAGTTTTTCTCATTTCCAAGAAATCCTTTGATAACATTAACTGATGATAAACATGAATTAATACTCCACCATGTTATTTTTTGATTTTTAGTAAAATTTTTTCCAATATCTGCAGTAATACCTCTCCATACAACTTCTTTTACAGTTGGTAATTTATTTAATGCTGTATCAAATAATTTCAAATAAGGAAACCAGATTTTACATAAATGTCTATTTTCATTTCTTAAAGTTTTATTTAAAACACGATATAAAGTTTGTTCATCCCATTCCATTGTATAAATATAAATTGATGCTGATTCACCATGTGTTAAACCATGTTCTGATGGATAATGACAATGTCTTTTTGCTACTTTAATATAAGCTGGTAGATTAGCAATTTGAGATTCTATTTGTTCTAATGCTTTTTCAATTGGAACAAGTTCTTCACTAAGAAAACCATAAACATGTGTTAATTTTTCAAACAAACAATCAATATCACTAAAACGATTCATTTGTGTTATTTCCTCCATATTTATCTAAAATTATCAATGAAAATATTAAAATTCGTTTTTTCAAACGGGTCCAATTCTATAGTTCATTTAGATTTTTAGATAAGATAAGAGAAAGGAAAAACTTGTATGAATAATCTTCACAAGCAACAAAATTCGAGGGAATGAATAAAAATAAAAATGATGAATATGAATATGTGTAGGAATGATATTGTTAAATTTGTATCATATGTGAATAAACTTTGTTTATTAAACTTAGTGAATGAACTCTTTATCAAAATCCATGATGCTTATACATAGAGCTAGTTAGAAGATTTAAAGATATTAAATTAAAAATCGAATTCATTAAGTTTGACAGAACGAAAGAAAAAAAAGAAAGAACGAACAAACATATATGGATAAAACTTTTATGACATAATCTAGGTACATGCTACGTGCGCATCTTTTTAACAGAAATGTAAACTCAAACTATGGTATAGTGACATTATCTTTGGACTTTTATTTTATTTTCTATGATACATTACCTTTTCATTCTATGTAATATTGCAATACATCATTAAGCATATATCTGATCATTCCTGGAGTACGTACCCATCTATTCATCTGCACTACCTTTCTCTTGTGCTCTCTTCTTTTGTTTACTTGAAACAAACTATTACTTCATCTTGCATTTCTCTTCTTGATCATATATTGTTATCTCTTCTTTTCGTTCTTTATTCTCTTTCTTTTATAAAACAAGAATCATCCTTCTCTTCACAATATTCACTCTTTAAATACTCAACCATACCAGTAGAACGTGATGCAATGAAGGAGAATCAGCATTCTTTATGGCAAGAGATATATATCATGCCATAACATACATCAAGACGTGACACAAACATAAATCGAAATCTTTATTCAAATGTATGAGCTAAATTCTGTTCTTTGTTAAATGAAAATTACATTCATGATACGACTTCCAAAGCCACGAAAGTGGTTGCCGGCTTGGGGAGTGTACATCCCAACAATAAATAGAACTTTTGATATTTTTAGCTATAAAAATACAGAATAGTATGTGTTAATTTTATAGTTTAATACGCATAGAACTGGTGGGTGTAGATAATGGCACGACGACCAAATCCATAGCCACACCCACACTCTTCTTTTGTAAAATTCGGCAAAAATCAACAAAAGATAAAGAATTTAACATTTATTTATTCAATTTTTTTTATTGATTTTCAATAACAAAACTTCACTTTGTCTTTTATTTTTATTTTTCAATGTTTTATTTAACAAAAAATTCTTTACTTTTCTTCAAAAGTCAAAATTTCATTCACAAAATTACTTCAAATTTTACAATTCGATTCTTTGCACTATCAGCAACATAAAGGCTTCCTTCATCATCAAAAGATATACCCAGGGGGCCACTCAATTGATTTCCTCCACCATTTCCACCAACAACAACTTTACCTTCTTCTTTTCCTTCACACCAACGCATTACTCGATCATTCCCACTATCGACTACATAGATTTGACCCAAATCATGAACAATTACTCCTGCAGGATAAGACAATTGATTGAGGTTTCCCTCTTGACCATTTCCTCCAGCCACAATTCTTCCTTGTTTTACACCTTTTCTCCATTTCATCACACGATGATTGGTCCAATCGGATACATAAACAGACTGATCTTCATCAACAAAGATATAAGCAGAGTAATTAAATTGATTGAGTTGATTTCCATATCCATTTCCACCTGCCACTATAATTCCTTCATTGCTATATTCTCCCATTTTCCATCGTCTCACTTCATTCTTCTTCCAATCTGAAACATAAAGAAATCCATGTTTGTCTGTTGCTAAACCAAAACAGTCAATATCGTCAATGAGAATTTGTTGCTTTTGATTCACCCATTGAATCACTCGTCTGTTCCAACGATCAGCAATAATGATCGAGTGAGTTTGTTGATCAACAACCACATCTGTTGGACCATTTAGTTGATCCACTCGATTTCCTCTGCCATTTTCACCTGCAATGATTTGTCCTTGCTTTGCATTATATTTCCATTCAACAATACGATGATTTCCAGAATCAGCAATGAAAATATTTTTCTTTTGATCAATAAAGATTCCTTTAGGGCAATGGAGTTGATCTAATTTCTGTCTTTGTCCATTTCCACCAGCTACAATGATGGCATTTTGATTCCATTTGTCCCATTTTGGTTCTAGATAATGATGAAACGAAAAAGAAAAGATTAATTTTTTAATTTAATATTAATTTATATTATATCATTCTTTTCCTTTGCATACAAATAAATTTAATCTTTTCTCTATATAAGTATCATTGTTTTTAGTTTTTCAACAGAATAGTATAGAAAATGAGAATTATTCTATTAGAAATTATTTGGTAAAAACTTACTTTTTGATGTAATAATTGAAATTTGATTAATAAATGATTGTGAATCTTGTTGAATAGAAATCTTTGGGCGATTATTTAATTCTTGTGCAATTGTCATCAATTGATTTGTTAAATAGTTTAAATTAATTTCATTAAACTCATTTTCTTTATGAATTTGTTTTATTTGTTCATTTAAATTATTAAATTTCTTTTCAATATCGTTAAAGAATGTTGGTAAATATTCCACAGCAATTTTTCTACATTCTTGTGCTTTTAGTTGAATTATTTCAATTGAATTTTTTTCTCATTGATTAATTTGTTCTATTAATGGAAAGTTTTGTGGATTTTGTTTTTGTTCATTAATTATTTGTTTGAATTCATTATAATTATTGGCAATATGATGTAATTCACCGTTTAATATTTGCTGATGTTCTGATAAATGAATTAAACAAAACTCTTTTGAACATCCTTTACAAGGAAATGTTATTTTTTCTTCATTACATATGAAACATAGTGTTTTGCTGTTTACCATTGCTATGTCTTTCAATAGACGTTTATAGATGAAATGAAAATATCCTTACATACTTTTATAGTCATAAATTTAATGACTCAATGACAATAAAACTTGCTCGGCAGTGAAAGAAATCGAAAAAGAATGCTTTGTTTATGATGAAATTCGACGAATAAAACTGATGTAATATCTTGAGATTGCAGTGATGGTATAATAAAAAGTAATAGTCACATCCACACTCACCTACAATGTAGAATGTAAAATTTAACTATTAGTTTTTTATTTTTGAGATAAGAAAAAATAAGACTCTATTCGATGAATTCTTATTGTCTCAAATAAAATCATGTTTTTTCTACATAGAGAAGAAAAAATATTTTCTATTGTTTGACATCCTTCTAAAAAAGTGATAACAAAAATATCCGCGAAAATTCAGTATAAAATATTCTTATAATCTTCATATAACGAACAATCAAATTTTTAGTTACATCTTATGTTTTCATCAAAGCAATATTTTATTCATATGAAACATTTCCTTTTGTTTTCTTATGTAATCTATAGTATATACCGATCTTTGAAAAGTACTGAGTTTTTCATATGAAATTTTATCATTTAATATTGCATATTATATAATAAAAAGGTATAAATTTTAAAATATCGAAATATTATCATAACAAAAGCATTCAAATTGTGAACTGTAAAAATGAATGACTTGTATTGATAACAATTAGATGATAATGTTGTTAACATGATATTGATTCGTGTGAATAGTTGATCTTATATGAATTCTATTTATAATATTTTATAACAAATAAAAGATTTATTTATTTGACAAGATATCTCGAAATCAAATATTAGATATTGATTGAATAAAAATTTCTAATGAAATTCTCAATCATGTTACATAACTTGTTCATTATCATTTTCTACCCATATCAAAAATCAAACATTAGATCTTTACTATGAATGAATCTTACTTAATTTTAGTAATTAATTATTTTTTATACATATATTTTCTATGATCTTTCGTATTCAACTTAGTATGACTAAATTTATTTCTAATCAGACAGTGTCTATTAGAGATTGAAATCACATTATTTACAAGTAACGCTCATCCGAAGATTCGCTTAGCTCTTTCTCGTAGAAATGGTATTCTACAATACTAAACTTTTTCATTATACAGTTTGGAAAAATTAACACCAGATTTGTGTTCTTCCACCCCACTTACCCTTCAGTCACCCCTTATCAAAAAATTTTTTTTATAAAAACTGGTTCTCTCCCTAAAAAAGTGATCCATAAAATTATTCTATAAAACTAACATCAGATTCGAAGTCCCCACATCGAAATGCCCCAAAAATGTCTTTTCTAAAAAATTGATTCTCGAATTACCCTCTGGTAAAACTTTCTTGGAACTATCTTTAAGTTTAATAATATTAATTAATTATTAATTGGTTTTTAACTAAAACTAACCTCACATTCGAATTCTTGGAACTCGATTACCCTTCGGTCAAACTTTTTTCAAAAATTAATAATATCAATTATTAACTAATTAATTTTAATAAATCAATCTCAGATTCGAGTTCTCCATACTCGATTACCCTTTGATCCAACTATTCCGAAAATATTTCAAAAATTAATAATACTAATTATTAACTAATTATTAATTGGTTCTTAACTAAAAATAACCTCAGATTCAGATTCTCCACACTGGATTACCCTTCGGTCAAACTTTACTCGAACATATAATAATACGAATTATTAACTGATTATTAACTAATTATTAACTAGTTAATTTAAATAAACTAACATCAGATTCAAGTTCCCCACCCTCGATTACCCCTCGAGTCAAAGTTTTCCGGAAGTATCTGAAAAATTAAATTTCAATGTTTTTTTGACCCTGCGGACAGACAAGCAAGCAAGCAAGCAAGCAAGCAAACAATTTATTCTTACTGGACTCTTCTCTTACGAGAAAGAGAATATATGTCTATTAGAGATTGAAATCACATTATTTATATATTCTACATGTGAATAATATACATCAAAATCGATAGTTCTATGTATGTGTTTGATCACAGATCAAATGTAAAAAATATTGATTTGAATTTTTTCAAGTAATGAACAATAAAAATCTTTTGAAAAAGAATGAAATAAAAATAATATTGGGTGTGGGTGGGTGTGGGTGTGGGTGCGGGTGTGATTATTAGCTGTGTAGTGTAGTCTCACACCCACACCCTAGTGTGCATTATTGTTTGTGATGAATAAGTCACACGGTCTAAAGTGAATTATTTCATTAATCTTTTCGATTCTCCTATAATTCATAGATAATTTATGTAAATAAATATTTATAGGACAACACTAATACTTCTCAATCATCGATTCGAATCAATAAATACTAATTGAATGTAGAGGAACGAAAATAAATCTTGATCAATATCAAAACAAACATTTTATGTTTCGACTTGATTCGTTAAAAGAATGATAATGAAGTTTATTTTCAAATATCAATGAAAAAGAAAAGAAGATTTTAAAAATAGATAAAGAGAAAAATACAATGAAATGAATTTCTTATTACAAATGATTGAGAATTGATTTGATGATTATCAATTGAAATGAATCAATTCGATCTCTAAACAAAAAAAAGTATTAAAATTAAATTGAAATATGAATGTTTACAATAACAAACAAATAATTAAGATAAAAATATTTGTTTTGTTAAATCATTGAAATAATTCATATCTGTTTGTTCATTTTCTAATTTGATTAAACATCGGTGATTTTCGACACATTTATCAATAAAATAATTCAATTTTTCTTTTGATAAATTTTCACGATGTTTTTCTAATAAATTAATTATTCCTAATAGAAGTAATTGTTTATAGCGAAAATCATAATTAATATCCACATAACAAGTTAAAACTCCTGAAGATGAATGTTGTCGAACTTTTGATGAAATAGTATTTTTATAATCTATTGGAATAATTTCTAATAAAATCATTTTCATCATTGATATAACATCATCAACTGGAAGATATTGAATAGTTTCTTTTGAGTTTTGTGATAATTTATCAAGAATAAAATTTGAAGCAGTTGATAATGATCCACTGTATTTAACATTTGAACCAATTTCTATCGCACTATGCCAATCAATTAATAAGATTTCATAACTATTAAGAAAGAAAACAAATTAAATTAGAAAAATCATATAATGAAATCTTTTTTCTTTTACTTTTTTGTTTGTCTATTAAGTATTTGAATGATATTGGACATTCGAATATCACGATGTACAATATGATTTTCATGTGCTCTTTTTATTTGATTCCATATGATATGAATATTATTAAATAAATTTTCTTTTGATATAATTTGACCAGGTGGAAAACAAAACACAAAAGCATATGGATGAACTTGAATAATTTTATATTTATCAGCATATAATTTTTCATAGATTGATACTTCTTTATCAACAGATTCATTACTAATTTTTAAAGTACATTCATTTAATGGATTTTCAATCAAATAACAATTAAAAACTATTGAATTTGCACCAATCCCTAATAACTTCTGATCAATACGAATATTTTTAGGTAATGCTTCTACACGAGAGTAACCAAATGTTGATAATTCAGTAGTAAAAAACATTGTTAAATAATGTAATAAATATTCATTATCGTATATAATTTTTTTTATCGAAGCTACATACGTTATTTGATCATCATCAGTTGATCTGATTACTTTAGCAAATTGTATGTGATGAAGGTCAGTTATTGCACCTATAATATATGTACGTGATGATGGAGAATAATCCAGTATAATTCGAAGATAATGTAATAATTGTCCAATATTACAATCTTTTAATTTAATTTTTAATTCAAGAATTGTAACAATATGAAATGGTAAAAATTCTAAATCTAAATTACTTGTTTTAGATTTCAAATGAGAATTATAATAATCAATAAGACAAAAACCAGGCATCATTTGTTCAAATAAAGCTTTAAAAACTGTTCCTTTAAATCCATCAGTATATTTCAATTTATTAATGATATTTTCATCATATTTCTTCAAGCAGTTTTGATAGAAATCTAATTGAAGATCTTTTTCATTATTGGAAGTATTCACTGTCGATAACCATAATTTTAAGTCGTGATATAATTTAATATAATCAGGATCATTTTTTATTGAAAGATCATCGGATAATAAATTTGTAATATGAATTTCATTAACATTTTCATTAAATGAATCATGACTCTTTGTTGTGGAACGACTTTCAGACATCAGAAATAATTGAATTTGTTTGTTTTATTCTAGAAAAAATTATATGATATCAAACAACTTGTTTTTTTTAGAAAGAGACGAAAGTTTTAAAAGTTATCGAATAAAAGAAACAAAACATCATTGTATTGAAATAGGATTATCTGGATGTTCTTCAATAATAATATCTTAATCAATTCTTTTCATTCTGTGAAACAATGAACAATGCCTATTAAAATCATTACATCCAATCAATCTTTAGAAATATTACCTGTGGGTATTCAATTAAAATCTGGCAATGAAATTGTCATAACTCGTCGCACTGTCACTAATATGAATATGATCAAAAATAGACAAATTTTTTTTTAAATACTATTAATATAATTAAAAGATGTCACGAGTGAGAGCGCCACGATGATAAATTTACTTCGAAAAACAAGATCATATACGAGCATATTGAAAGGCAATCGTTACTCATAGAATGATTGAATTGTTTTAATAGTTTGATTTTCTTAAACGTTGAAGTATAGAGGAGAATTTTATTTTATATTATCTTAGATATAGTACGAAGAGGGTGTGGGTGTGGGTGTGATATGAGAATAAAATGCACCCTTACACCCACACCCACACCCTAGCTACTACGACTAGTTTTAACCTTGCTAAAGAGTTATGTTCAGGTAGCATATACTTCCACTTCGAACTAATAGATTATTGTTGGTGCTTATTCTTAAACAAAAAACAAATCGAATCATGAATAAAATACGTTTGGCAAGAAGACTTACACCAAATTAAGTGATATTTGATTTGTTAGTAAAATAATATTGTTCAAGAAACGTAAATCGCAGAGTATTTTATCTGCGACAATAAAGCATCGATATAGTTATTAAAGAATAAAAGAACAATAACAAGAGAATAGAAAGCAATCAATCGTATGTATAGAAATAGTTTTTGAAAAGTTTTTAAGTTAATGTATCATTTGATGAGTATAAACACATCTAAAGATCTTATGAACTACATTAGTGTTGGTGTGAACAATCGAAGACAGGCTAATCAAGATTTCATTAACATCAAGAGGTATTCTTTAACTTCAAATAACAAAAATATTTCAGTAATATTGAGTCAAAGATTTTATGTTTATTGTATGTTATAATAAGTAAGTGTTTATCAATTGTTATAGAAAAGAAGAGAAATATTATTTAAACCTATTTATTTCATTAATAATTTGTCCATATCAAGCATATATGTATAAAATTTTTGAAATAATTTCATTGAATTTGAGAAGAGATTATAGGAAGTATTTCTCATTTATTATGAATGAAAGTATATTGATTATCTTCTGGAAACAGTAAGTTATATCAGCCTTTGATCATTGATGATTTTTTAAAGACTTTTCAAAAGTTTTGAGAGAAGAAATAGTGATGAAGAAGTAGATCATTCGAAAACTAAACAAGAAAATCTTTTTATAAAACAGATATTATGAATGCCAATTATTAATTAAACATCATGCAAAAGAAGATAATTATCTACTTGCTCGCTCAATTGATGAGTCTGATTGTGATCATGTGCAACGTAGTATTATTGTAATTAAAATCAGTCACATAAATATGGCTTCCGCATCAGCAACAGGATGAGAATAGTTACTTTTTCTAAAAACAATCGGTTTTAAAAGTGTTTTTATTATGATCTCGATTTTATATGTAAAAAAATTCTTTTGAGTGTCAACACTCACTAACTACTGAAGTCTTAAATAAATAAGTGTGTTCTTTTTTGGATGGAAGTGGCTATTCTTCTGATTCATTTTGAACAACCACACCTACCATCACACATTATTTCAGATCTTAGACAACGATCGTCATCCATTTGAAATATAAAACCAATAAAGGAAAATATGAGATGATGCAAAGTGCTTCTCTTTCTTTCTACAAATATCTATCATTAAAAACAGCAATACAATTCTTTTTAAAAAATATTGAACAAAAAGTATATGATTTTAATAAAATAGAGTTATAAAAGAATTTAGTAATTGCAATATGATACCTTAGAAAAATTTTCATTAACATATTTCTTCACTTTATGTTCAATGGCGACATCTTACATTTCCTTCTTAAGTTTGGTAGCCTAAGTAACGAGATAAGCGATGCCTGTCGAGTGGAGAATATTTTTTTTGTGAATTTATAATATATTCATTTCTATTCTATTAAAATGAATGATGTAGTTGGAACCTGGCAAGTGGCTCTTTCCGATGGTGTTCATAAAGTTGAATTTGAACAGTAAATTAAACAAAAAAAATGTAAACTCATGTTTTTTTATTTTAAATTCTTCCATTTTTCTTCAGTGGTACAACCTCTGGTAAACGTGTGATTCGTGTTGATAGTAAAGAAATTCTTCGTCGTGATTGGCTTTTTAAACTTGTTGGTAAAGAAACATTTAAAATTGGTAAACATCAATGTACAATTAATATTGATGCTGTAAGCGGTTTTGCTTATGAATATACACTTGATGTAGATGGCAAACCATTAGAAAAATTTAGTGAAAATCGTTCCAAAATAAGTCGAACATGGACATTAACACTTGATGGAATAGATTATCGTGTTGTTTTAGAAAAAGATACACTTGATCTATGGGTTAATGGTCAACGTGTAGAAGCTGATGCAGAATTTACTGATGATGGAACAGAAACAATATTTGATATTTGTAGTCATCCAGCTATATTAAAAGCTGTATCAACTGGTTATCGTCGTTCGGGTATAAATCATGCTTTATTTGTTGACGGAAATGAAATTCCCGTAGCAAATGAATAATAATATAAAAAATTGTTTTGTTTTATTAGTTCTTAATATATTTTAATGTTTCTATTTTGTCATTTATATAAATAAATGTTGTCAATTTTACATATTTTTCAGATTTATTATACAGAAAAAAAAATACATAAAAGATTGAGTATATTTGATAAAAAAAATTTTTTTTTGTTACTCTACTGGTAACTTAGTCACAAAATACAAGTTTTATGATCGAATTTAATGAGTAATGATTGGCATATGAGTATGATCTTGAATATTCAAGTACATAATGAATGCTCATGTCAGACAGAATTTTAAAGTACATTACTTCAAGTATTTTTTTACCATTAAATAGCTGTATGATTAATCATCATATTCGATATAGTGTAGTGCACAGTATATATTGATGACGTTAGCATACCGAAGTATAGAACGGGACAAATACTAATGTATGTGTAAATATAACCAACCACATGAATAGTGTTTTTCTTTTTCTTTTTTTCTATAAAAAAATAACATAAATGCTATGTCAAAATTATGAAGTAAATGTTTAAGGGTAAATAATACGTCAATTTTTATGTTTTCAAAAACGAATAGATTTGAAAAATATAAATCAAGGTTTTTTTTCTTTATAGAAAGAAATTAAAATATGTTTGATAGAAATCGTCTCGTACCTCATTTTAAAGAACAATTAACAGGTTCGATTTTTTAAACTATCTTTGATTGATTTAGAATTATTTTTTCGGAATATTTAGAAGCCGTTAAAGCTTTGACTCATCATGAAAGACCTTTTCAAAAAACTCGTCAAGAAAAAATAACAGATTTAACTAAACTTCAACCTGGTGATCATATTAGTTTCTATAAAACAGATTTTTATTATGCACATCATGGTATTGTTTGTGAAGCACGTAAAGATTATCTTCGTGTCATACATTATTTCAATACATTAGAACATGCACGTAGTGCATTATCGAAAGGTTCAATTTATATCGCAGCAATCATTGAAAGTGAATGGCCAGTTAATATGAAAAGTACAAGTGAAGATATATTTTTACATCATTATGATAATATACCATGTTTTACCAATGAAGAAACATTAGAACGAGCTTTTTCTCAAATGGGTCGTCGTGGTTATTCATTATTAGGAAATAATTGTGAACATTGGTGTCGATGGTGTCGTGCAGGTGAACATTATTCTGAACAGATTTATAAATTTCGTCGATTAGTTAAAGAAAAATCGGCAACATTATTAATTGTTGATCCATCAGCATTACTTGTTAAAGATGTTGCTTTAGTTGGTGTAAGAACATTTGGACAATTTTTAAGTGCTGCTGGATCAGGAGTTATATTAACAGCTTTCGAAGGTATTTCTGCATATATTGATATAAAAAAGAAAAAAAATGATAATAAAAAAGGAAATTTAAGTGATGTTGCTTTGAAAAAATATGTTGTTAGACGAATAACATCAGCATCAACTACTGTAAGTTTTTGTTTTCTAATAAAAAAATAATTTAATTTTTATATTTAATAGGTTGTTGGTGGAACTGCAGGTACAATTGTTGGTACAATACTTATTCCAGTACCAATTCTTGGTGCAACTGTTGGTGGTATTATTGGTAGTGTTGGCGGAAAACTTATTGGTGGTGTATCTGGTATTGCATTATCAAAAATTCTTGAGGTTTATGAACAAATGAAAGAATCAAAAATTAAAAAAATGTCAGCTATACCACAATTAATGAGTAATTTATCACCTGAAAGCGAACTTATCCGTGGTTTAATAACACTTACTGTTGAACGTCAAGAAGAAGAACAAATTTCAAATGTTATTCAAGAAGCTATGGATACAAAACCTTCATCACTTTATCCATCTTTAGAAGAATTCGTACGTATTAATTCAAATATAACACCTGAAAAATGTCAAGCAGCATCACAATTAACAACTGAATTATTTCCTGATTCAAATTCATTTGATTATTTTGTATTAACAGCAGTACCAGATAATAATGCAGCTGAAAAATTTTCTGCATCAGAAGATTTACTTGTTCTTCGATGGCCTATGGGAAATATCAAACCATGGGAATCAAATCAAGAACACGTTTTAGACATTGATGATTTAAATTCAACTAAAGAGTGAATTTAAACGTTTTTTTTATTTTGTTTGAAATGTCAGATTTATTTTGTATAGAAATATTAACTTAATTTTCAACTAACAACCAGTTGTTTACATTATTATAATAAATTTTTCATATCGAAAGTTATTATATTTGAAATCGAAGCTCAATGATTGCGTTCTTTTTGTCATCGTGGTGAATGTGTGGGTTGTATGTTTACGCGTCATAAGGGGTTGTCTTGACAAGCTTTTTAATAAGATTTCTTTGTTATAATATTAAATCAAGAAGTAATGAATTATTATAGAATTATGCAGGATTGAATGACATTTTAATGTGTATTTATAGAAAAAATATAATATGGACGTTAATAGTTTTGATATAGACTTGACGTAAGAAATGATGGTTTAATAAGTATAAAGACTCATATAAATAAAGAAATTTAATTAACCTAAATCTCAACTAAAATTAATTTTCTTATGTAAATTATGTTTTTGCTTTATTAAACTCGTTGCTTTCTATCGATTACGTTAAAATATCTCTTGACGTCATGTCTAATAAAAGAACTCATTTTTTAATGAAAAAAACTCGTAAAAAACAAGAACTAATTATTGAAATTGTTCCGTCGTTTTCACTAAATTTCAAAATGATTATAAACTATCTTTTAATTTAATGAATTTTTTTAAGAAAGACCTACATTTTACGACGTAATGACTATATCATTCAATTTTCATATCAAATAAAATATTAAAACATATACGATTAGAATGGATAGATCATATTCATTAAAGATACATCATTAAACAAATGTATGAAATGATATCATTTTATATTATACGTTGTACTGATAAAAGTTTGATATAAAAAAATATTTTCAATTTCCCAAATGATTTTTTTCTCTCTCTCTCTTCCGTTGTATTCATTTAATAATATTTTTTATAAGACAAAAATAAAAGTTGATTCATATAGTTTACAGGAAATGAATTTTTCTCAGAGAGCAACGATATAAATTATGGCATTTTTGCAGTATTCTTATTCATTTTTTTACGAAAGCTGATATATCGCATTTTCTTACCAACATTATCAAAAATGATATTTTCAAAAGCTTTTATCACCTTCTCATGTATTGTATTATTTTCAATGATTATCAATGAAATGGATGCTTATCGATTAGATCAACGTGAAGTACATACAGATAATGATAACACTGATCTAACGGATCCTGATTTTATTCAAAAACTTCAAAAATTAATTGAAGCTGCAGCAATTGTCTATACTGGAAATGATAAAAAAGACTCTGCAGAACCTGATCATGAAATTAATACTCGATTAGCAGCAAATCGTCGTCCCGGACTTATTCGTTTAAAAAAATCTGAATAAAACATTAAATATGTTGTCCGTATTTTCCTATTTTTATCATTCATTAAATAAAAATACATAAATTGTATGTTTTAATCATGCATAATATTCAATATCCTTTTACATGTAATCTCTATGTTAAAAAGTATCTAAACAATACGGTCATTCAGTCTATGATTATGTAAAATTTATTAACAAGGGTTAATAGTACTCAGTGGCACTAAGGCATCTTTTTTAGGTTTATAGCTATATACTTGAAATGACATTTGTATAGAAGTTTATATTTAGTTTGATTAAGACTACACTCAATCAAACTTGAAAAAATCTTTTTATATATCAAAGCCTAGAGAAAATTATCTTCTAATTGAATAGAATGAAAAAATAAAATAATTTTTATTATTTCTTATCTTATCATAAAGTTATTTTTTCCTCATTTATTAATTCGAAAACAAAATATACAATTCTAACACGAAAGAAAAATAGAATAATCAATAAGTCAGACAACGAGAAACAGAAAAATAACATGAGAATTTGTTTTAAACAAAAAAAAATAGATTGATATAGAAAAATATGATTATTTTGATATGTTATGAGAAGATGAACGAGGTTTATCACCAAAAATAGCTGGAAAAGTTTTTCCTTCAGGAAATTGTGATTGATGTTCTTCAAGTATATGATTTTTCATTAAACAACATTCTCGATACTAAAAAGAATACATATATTTCAATATTCAATTAATTAAATATACTTTAATTGTTTTTTGTAGCATTTGTTTTGTATCAAGTGGTACATTAAGTTGTTCAATAGAATCATTATAACTAAATATGGATGTCATTCGACCAGATAAATCAACAAGTTTTATTTCTAATGGAGAATCTAAATGTTCTAGATTTTTTCGATAAATAGATATTTTTGTTCCATTTATATGAGTAAACTAAATATAAAATAAATTTTATTAGATTAATATCTTGAGGGTGTGGATGTGGGTGCAGGTGTCTCTTGGCTAGAGTAGGCGGTTCCAAAAAAGGTAATTTTTAGAACCGCCGTATTCTACTCTTCGTTTAACTTTGTCACACCCTCAAGATGTTTTCATCTCCTTGTTAAAAACACAACTTACATCGAATTCAATTGATGTTTCCATTAAACGACATTTCCCATCATTTGTATACATAATTATTTTACATCGAAGTGAACGAATTATATTTACAAATTTCCATGCTCGACGATATTTATTGTAAAACTGTTCAGGTAGTGTATCAAATGTATATTGTTCATAGCTAACTGGTAGTGAAAGTGGACCTTCACTTTCAATATATGAATTATACTGTCTTCGATCAGGTCGATAATATATAATCTTTAAAAATACAGTAAATAATAAAAATTCAAAAAGAAACAATTTCAACCTTTTGTCCATCGGATGATACTCGAAATACATCGACTATTCGTTTCGAACCACTTTTAACTTCAACAAGATGTTGAATAACAACTTCACCATCATCTAATATATCCATCTAAATATATTCATTTTAGTTTTATAAAATCAAAATTTATATTCTAACTTACAATATCACTTTTTGTTATAACATGTCGACGATCGAGACGTTGTGTATTCAATGGAATTAACTTTTCATTAATAAATTTATGTTGACTAATACTATTTGTATGACTTAAATTATTACAACTCAATACCGATGTTGATGAAGCATTTCTAATCTGACTTTTATTTATCATTAATGGTGGCAAAGAATTCAATGTAGTTGGTCCTCTTGATATTGTTGATTCATTCGTTTGTTGTCGACTTGATGATAATGGTGAAGTATCAAAATATCCGCTATCACCACTTCTTAATGACTACTAATTCACAATAAAATTTGAGAAATGTTTTTAGGATGGTTTTTTTTATACATACAGTAGAACTATTTCTTGATGAATTTATTCGATCATTCATTTGACGTTTTAATAGAAATGGATGATGACGAATTTGTATTAATGTCAAACGTTTTTTAACATCTTTTTGTAAGATTCGATTTATTAAATCTTTTGTTTCCATACTTAAACCTTCAGGTAAAACATATCGAACATTTGCAACTCGTCGTAATGTTGAAAGAACATCTTGATCATCAAATGGTGGTTTTCCAACTAAACATTGATATATAAGTGCACCGAGTGACCATATATCAGCTTCGAAACTATGTGTTTGACGTGTTGCTATTTCAGGTGCGAGAAAATTTGGTGTACCAACCATAGTAGAATTTGTTTGTCCATGTGTAATTAATTGTTTTGCTAAACCAAAATCGGCTATTTTCTTAATAAATATATGAACATTTATATATTAGGTAGTAATTGATTAAGAAAACATACGACATTATTATCTTTTGTTAATAAAAGATTATGTAATTTTAAATCACGATGAAGAATCTGATGTGAATGTAAATATTCAATACCAGCTACTATTTGTTTTATATAATGTCGTGCTATAAAATCAATAAAAGAAAATTATTTATCAATCAAGATAGTTTTAAAACTAATTTTACTTTCATCTTCAGTAAATTGTTTACGAGTATTTAAATATTTTTGCATATCTGTTGCACATAATTCGAGTACAAGATAAATATTTATTTTATCTTCAAATACTTCAAGCAACTAAAGAAAAGAGACTAGAATAAGTATGAATGTTTGTCTTCTACTAACTTCAACGATAGCTGGATTACGTAACTGCCAGTGTATTCGAACTTCTTCACTAACACGTGATAGAGCATTTTTTAATTGTAATTCTTGTATATTCATCTGAAAGAAAATCTCTTTTTGTATTAAATTAAATCAAGATAATACATACAACTTTAATAGCAACATCAAAATGATCACATAGTCGAATACCTCGATAGACTTTTGCAAAACCACCCGTTCCAATTAATTCAAATTTCTCATAATTCTAAATTTTTAATGAAATAAAACTTATTTTAAAAAATAAAAAATATTTACTTTGACAGCATCAACATCTTTACATGCATCACATGTATGTTTCTCCCATTCAGCTGTACTTACAGCCATAATTTATGTTTTAACTTAGAAGAAAAAAAACAAAAGAGAGACAATGAATATTCATTATGCAATTAAATCATCATCGTGTATCTCTTCTTAGAAGATTCATTCGTTCAATGACGTAACACATTGTTTCCCACGTTTTTCCAATAATGTAACTATTCCCAAAAAATCAAACAAAATTAAATAAAAAAAATCATTTCATATAAAATTGCTTTTTAATCTTAAAAATATCTTAGATTTAATAAGTTTATAATATAAAAATCAAGAGCGCCATCTATTTCTTCTCTTTTCTTTTCTTTAGTTCGTCATTTTCCACTAACGAGTATATATATGGTATTGTCTCTATTTGCTGACTTGTTTGTTATTTGTTGCAAGCTTAGATCAGGAAGAGCTAGATAGAGAGAGAGAATATCAATAAATTTCATTCTTTAGATTTTGAGTCGAAAAATAATGAATCTACATAATAATCAAGAACTTAGCGATCTACTCGATCTCAATGCAGTAAGTTTTCCAATACAAAAAGGTATCTCTTTTTTTTTTACATTTCATTCATATTTTAGGTAAAAAGTCGAACTCGTTTTCCAAATAGTATTATTGAATCATCTTCTCGACATCCTTCAGTACCTGTATATATTTTATTTCCGATCTATATCGTTTTATAATTCTCTTTTTAATCTAGATGTTACGTTCAACTAATCCCTATTCTAGTATACCCTCTGAAACAATATATAGTAATACAAATAAAGGTAGTTTTTTTGTATTTTTCATTATATATATTAAAATAATTCTATTGATAGATTATTGGAATCATTGTCCATCATCATCAACTACGTATAATGATGGAGTTTGTATTATTTCGATATAACAGAATTTTTTTTGATAATTATTTTGTATAGATTTATGATGGAACTCATAGTAATCGAGATATTCTTCATCCATTTATAACAACTGAGCCATTGAATAATATTTCATCAAATCTCGTATGATATTCAAAGAAAAAAAATATTGAAGAAATATAATATTCATATTTTAGACTTCACGATCTACAACTAATGATATATCATATTCAGGTTTATAATTAATTCATCATTTGTTTGTATAGTTCATTTTTATTTTATAGAAAAACTAGATGAGAAAGTACGTCGATCAACAAACGTAAGTTATGACTTTATATATATAATTGAATGAGCGTCAACGTTTAGCCACTCTTTTAAATTGTTAAACGTTCAATTAAATTAGTGACGAATTAGATATTTATTACTTGCCTTACGCATGAAAATGATCTGGTTAAAATCAAACAAATTTATGCATAGTTGAAAGAGAGGGAAGAAATATATTTGATTAAAACAAAACGGGATTTCTTTTAATCATATATCTTTATTTTTTTTTTCTTGTCACATCAGATGTTGACGTGTGAGTAATTGATATAATTATTTGCTGTCTATGTTTCTGACATGACGACATCTTTCTTCTGTCAGAAGAGATAGATTGAGAACAACTTTACTAATTCACTCGATGATAAATTAAGATGAATGAAGAGAGACAATGACAATGAATTGTCTTCATATTTCATTTATTTTTTAAATCGATATAAGAACTCACGGTTGATTAGTAATATGGTATTTCTTCTTTTTCCTTTTCTTCTTCTTCTCCTCCTTTATTTCATATTCTTCGTATTTTCTATTCAAGAACGTGTATGTGCACCAGCTGGTTGGGTGACATGAATATATTGTGAACGAATGAATTTCAAGAGAATAAGAGAGAAGTTCGCTTCGTCTATCTACTATATACAATAGGCTCGATTGTATGTGTATTGTTTGACCGGGGTCGTGTGTGTGATAAAATTAATAGTCGTGTTTATCTACATTCGATGGCACACGAACGAGCTTTCCAGCTGCGCTACGAGCTTTCCTCTTTGTAAACATCATATACGCTTAGCGGTAAATGTAAAAGGGACAAACAATGTAATAAACGTTCGTAGTCATGTTGTGTCTCTCTCTCTGTCTCTTATGCTTGAAGATGTCGTGAGATATGATAATAGATATTCGATTGTTACTACTGCTTGTTTCCGACAATGATAAATGAGTAAAAAAAAAGAAAGAAAAGAAGCGCTAATCGACTTTGCGTATATATACAAAAGAACGAAGCTTGTGTAATAATTGTTCGACGACATAAACATATATATAATAAAAGAAAGAACTCTAATGAGAAATGTAGCTTGAGGAATAGGTTTTCTTTTTTTTTTCTTCTTCGTTTATTGTGATCTTGACAAAGAACTATCACTACAAGCAAAGATCTTCGTTCTTCTAAATATATTGCTTTGTATACAGTTGTTTATCTTCAGACAGGGGGGTAACTCATTCGCCCGGGCGCATGATGCCTGCTCGAGATACGAGCCTTTGTCTTTACATTTATTTCACCTTCTCTGTCTTCCGCTAGAAGATTGCAGCAAACAAAAAAAAGAGAAAGAAAAAGGAGAGAGAGAGAGAGGGAAAGATGATGATGATTTTTTTTATGTGTCTTGTTTCTCTCTTTCCTGTTCGTATGCCCGCCTCTAGTTAACACATCGCAAGATAAGGATATCTCGCTGTTCCAGTGAAAGGTCTCCCGCATCGATCGACTCTCCTTCTCTTCCTTTTTTTCTCTCTCTTTCGATGCATATCACTTTTTCCCTCTTTCCTGTGCTATCAAGCAGTGCTACACGTATATACTACGAGTTTATTTGACACAACAATTATAAGTCAATTTCATTTCTTCTTTCTTTCTTTTTTTGACTAACTGTGATGGAATAATCACTTATTTTCTTTCAAAATAATACATAAATGTTCTACTATTCCCGACCATCATATCAGGTATGAAAAATATATATGATATTTTAGTTCTTTTTTTTTTTGTTTTATTTTGTCATACGAAGAAAAAGAACAAGACCTTCTTCTTGTATTTTTTTACAATTTGTATCGGATTAAGAGAATACGAATCGTAATTGTCACCTTGTCTTTAGATCAAATAAGACAAAAAAAAAACGTTTTTTTTTTTTCGTTATTTGTCTTTAATTGCAATTGATCGAATAAAGAAGGAGTAGTAAAAGAAGAAGAAAAAAAAGAAAGATAATGCTAATCAATACATTCTCCTGCTCAATCGAACGATGTGAATGTCAGCATGAATTGCGCTCGTACGTCCTTTGATCTCGTGCCGAGTGAGCACAAACAAACGAACCTTTTTCTCTTACATTTTCTTGATTAGCCAACATAAAAATCAGTGGGTGATCAAGTTATTTTTCTTGAATGATACGTTGTCGACAGTGGTCTTATTTCGGATGCAACTGTTGATTTTAGTATATTGCATTGATCTTTTTTTCATGAAATTTAGCTCTGTTATATATGTTTATTACTGGCAAATGTGTATATACTATACTTCGATTGGAAAAGAAGAAAAGGAAGGAAAATAATAATAATAATAATAATAATAATAATAATCGAACATCGCGAGGGAAAAATAATTAGAATTGATTTTCTATGGGAAATGTCTAATGAAGAAAGCACTTGTGTGATTTATCCTATAAGGAGAAGAAATAAAGCGTTTGCACATGAGGTCAATCAAAACAACTTAGATATTAATAGGCTAAAGACGTTCGTTATACAATCATTACTTTTATTTTTATTATTAGGTCTATACATCGGATGATTATAATCCAGAGAATACTGGACGATATCCAACAGGAAAATCAGTCTATGGAAATGATTCAACATATTATGTTGGTACGGATATTGTTACGAAAGAAAAAATCTTTACTTTTTTTTTATAAAAAATATTTATTTCGTTTCATAGACGGACAAAATGGTACACCATGGTTACCACCCCCACCGACATCAGCTTATCTACCAAATGATCTTGCTAATAATCATGGATCTTTTACAGATTCAAACGGTTCATGTTTACCATCAATGGCAAGTTTTCGATCGCAACAAGGAGGAACATATTCAAACAATGGCAATGAACAAACAGTACAAACCGGAGAAACACTTGGCAAAGCATTACAATCTGTATGATATTAAAATTTAGATCACAGAAAGATTTCAAATTTTTGTTTTAGATTTATCCAAACGATCATCCTTATCCTTCGACACCATCGACTCCTCCACCATTAAATGGTATATTTCAAAGAAAAAGCATAGAACGAATATCTATTTTTTTTTTATTTTGATTCTTCTAGGATCTAGTCAATCATGGGTACCTTCAGCATCTCAATCTTATCACAATCAATTACATCCTCTTGTAAGTTTTATAAAATCGTAGAATAACAAAAACATATATAATACTAATCTTATTTTTAACTCCTAAACTCAGACAAGTCTAATCGATATAAATGATGAACCTTATTATCTACTCAATTTGAATGAGGTTTGTTTATTTATACACAAAAAAAATCACCAGGGTGATCGGGCTTTACTTTGATTAGTTTTTATTTGAACTAAGAATTTATTCAAATTTGATTTTTAGCCACCACGATTAGATGTCGATGATTCATTTCGTCAACCACCACCAGATTACCATCATTATTATGCTGGCTATCATCATCCACATTCCACTGGACCTTATTCAGCATTTTTATCTCATCCACCAAGTTTACATCCAGCATCGACATCTGATACATCATCAAGAAATCGACATCATGATCCATATTTAACATGTAAATTACATATATATATATTTAGAACAAGTATCTATTTCTATTTAACTATGTATTAATTTAGATCCTAATCCACCATCGACATCATCATCAACTTCATCGACTGATGCAAATACTGCTATAAATCCTGATTTAAACGTTGAATGTATTGATAAAGTTAAGTTAGATATTGAAAATAAACCACCACCACCGCCAACACCACTACCGCTACCACTACCATCAACAGCAATAACAACAGCAAGTGGATCATCTCAATTAACAACAGATAAATTAAATGAATTCAATCTTCGACAACAAAATTTAACTGACTTATCACAAGAAAATGCATCACCATTAACAATTGCTATTGGTGGTACAACAAATAATGTACATATTGGTCCATCCTCATCATCATCATCAAAATTACGAAAGTAAAAAGAAAAAAATTTCAATTTAAAAACTAGAAAAATAAAATATTTCTTTTTTTTCTTTTAAAGTTCATTGACACTCAGTCCAAATAGTCAAATGAATTTATCATGTATGCGAGGTGGACCTGGTTCTGAAGGTAGTATTGATCCAGATGAAACTCCTGAAGAACGTGAACGACGAGAAAAAGATCGACGAGCAGCAAATAATGCTCGTGAAAGGTCAGAAGAAAACAAAGTCAAACCAATTTCTTTTTTCTATATTCTAAATTTTCATTTAGATTACGTGTACGAGATATTAATGATGCATTTAAAGAACTTGGTCGTATGTGTTCAATTCATATGCGTAATGATAAACCTGTTACAAAATTAGGTATACTTCAACAAGCAGTTAATCTTATAACAACACTTGAACAACAAGTTCGAGGTATAATCGAGATAGACAAATAAATTTTGTGAAAACTATCGTTTTTTTCTGTTATTTTAAGAACGAAATTTAAATCCTAAAGCTGCATGTTTACGACGACGTGAAGAAGAAAAATCTGATGATATTAATGGTAATATGAATATCAATGGACAAATGCCACCAACAGGTACAGGTATTATGTCAACTGAATCATCTTCAATAGATAATTCAAATTACTTGGAACAGATGCATCAATCTATTCCACCATCTTATTGGCAACAATGACGAATATGACTTTGTGTGTGTGTTTTTTGTTTTACTTTTTTCTCTCTTCTTTGTACAACTTCTGTGTGCGTTCGCTATTACTTGCTTATCGGTGCCTTTGTATTTTCTTTTGTTTCTCTATCTCTCTCTCATTTAAATATTATATACATAAATATGAGAAAAAAAATGACACGATGAAGACATTTGTTTTTTAGTATTTGCCTGTATTTTTCTTTGTTTATATATGATGATGATGTGTGCAGCAATAAATGAAAATTGAAATAGGACAAGACAGTATTTTTTTTTCTTATTCTTCTTTTCTTTGTTTTCATAATTGTGCAATGTTTTGTGAATCAATAATATATTATACGATTTTGACAAGTTGTAGAAAATCCTAGATGGAAATTCGAACTTCGTTTGTATCTTTTTTCTCTTTGTGTACATTGCGCAAGTTTAATGAAAAAAAAATTTCTTCTGGTTTTTCTTTTCTCGTCCATTGATCTGTTAACTGTTTTTCATTTTTACTGTCTAACATTTCTTTGTTTCTCTTTTCTCAATGATTGTGCTTGCTTTTGAGTATTTCATCTCTTATCCTTGTTGCTCTACACACAAGATATGTGCACATGTTGAATAATAAAAGACATAACAAAGAATTTAATTCTTTTTTATGAATATTAATCAATAAATAAGTTTTAAAATTCATTGTTTTCTATTGATAATATGAGAGAAAAAGTGAGTTTATTTGCATTGGTGATTGTGAGATATGGAAAAATCCGGAAAGTAATTTTAGAAACAGTTCTTATCATTTAAAATGTTATTTTTCCTCATTTACAATAACAATAACAACATTCTTTTATATTTATGAAGGTTTTGTCTATTAATAGTTGAACATTTGCTATCCTGACATAACTCCATCACAATATATGTATATATTTACTTTGAGCAAGGGATTGCTAAATTTAACTAAAATTTATAGGATTGGATATTCACAAGAAGGAAAAAGTAAACTTTTGCATATGATTATATCAAAATTGATATCTAGCTATTTGAAGTATTCTATAAATGTTGTGATCATGAAATTTCCCATCTCGAGCGGAATATTTATGACTCAAGTATTTAAAAAATAAAGATATATGCAAGCAACTATTCGTGACTCATTGTGATGGCATATTTTATAAAATTAAAAAAAGGTCGAATCTATCTTTATTAGCATTTAGGCTTTTTTTCCCGGAAGAAGGTTCATTACAATATATAGATTCTAGTAGTTGTCATACTGATAATAAAAAGGATTCAATAAATAAAAATATAGTCGATTGGATCAAACTTGAAACTAATAATATAATGCCAATAAATTTGTAAATCTTCTGCAAGTTTTTTTTCTATTTAAATTACGTAGAGCTAAGTTATAAAACTAATCAATGGAAATAAGATTAAAATAAATGACACATAATGTTAAGTTTCTCTTAATCGACTTTGAACACATCCTTCACATTGAGAAAAAGAAACTTGAATTCGTCAATATATGATAATAGTCTAAGTAATCTTACTTTCCTATATCGATATTATAAACTGCTAGCAGAAGTATTAAACATTACTCGGAAAATTGAGGCTACCAAGCAGACAAAAAATTGAACAAACGCATTTAAAAGCTCAATCGGGAACCGCGATTGTAACCCATTCACGCTTAATAATAAAACGCCATAAACGGCATTTTGGACGTAAAATCACCACCTTTATAACTTTAAAACGATGAAAAACTCATATTTTTAACGTATAAACGCATGGATTTTAAACTCTAGAATAAACGCGCGTTTTAACTTCAAAAATATGAGTTTTTCATCGTTTCAACGTTATAAAGATAGTGATTTTGCGTCCAAAATGCCGTTTATGGCGTTTTGTTATCAAGCGTGAATGGGTTACAATCGCGGTTCTCGATTGAGCGTTTAAACGCGTTTTTTCAATTTTTTGTCTGCTTGGGTACAGGAAGATATTTTAATAAAATTCACTCATCTGTACATCCATACCCTTTTTGGGCGTGCCGACCCCCGTTCTGACTGAGTATATCATATGTTACTAATAAAAAATCAATAATTAACCTATTGAAATTACATTACAAATATATTTTCATTAAATTTATTCAAATGTCGGAAAACAACATACGAAAGCACATTTAATATGTGATATAATAAAATCAATATTTGAAAAAACAAAAACGAAGCAAACAAATAATATAAACATAAAAGTTTTTTGATTTTTAATCATTGTCACTGTGATATAGAAAAGAATATATCTGACATCTATTTACATTTAGTTTATATTAAGAATAAGAAATTGGTTTTTGACGTGGTTTGATTTTTTCTGATTGTATCCATTGTGCATCTTCAGTCATATAATCATCAAAATTATTAAAAAAATATAAAATACGATCATTACGAATAAATTTATATTCCCTAAAAATAAAAATTCATAAAAAAAATCTTTTATTTTTCTACAACAAACCATTTTCGACAATAACGAAGTTTATGTAATATTGTAAATTGTTGCCATCGTTTCCAAAAATTAACTATACGATCATCTTGTAAATAATCAGAATTACCAATATGAACAAATGTTAAATCAGATAAAATCAAACCAATATAAGGAATACATGGTTGACCTACAGATGCATTTAATGCTTCACGATAATTTTTAAATGAACCAGTACTATCAATAAGATCAGTATGTTCAGCAACAGCCTAGAATATATATATATATATATTGATATAGAAAACTCAATTCAGTATTATACATCGCTGATATTTTTTGACCAATTTAATCGTGTTAATGGTCCACAATCCAATGCAGAAAGAATAGCCAAATACGAATTAAAATTATGTAATCGTCTTAAATGCTATTAGAGAAAACAAAATAATTTTATGATGTTGTACAAAAAAGAAATAAAATTACTTTTAATATTTTAAGAAATTTTTCAAAATAATTTTCACGTTGTCGTTGAGAATTTTGTTCGAGTATACGAGTTCGTACCCTAGAAAAATAATTCATTGAAGTGAATTTTCAGATCAATCTATTTATCAATTGACTCGTGCTTTATTTTTAATTCAGATTACAGTTATGGCCATTCATTTACAATACTGTAAAGTACCTTCAACAGCAAGACGGTACTGATCGGCGAGAAAAGGGAAACAGCTAGACCAGTAAAGGTCGAATCTGCTTTGGTAATGCAGTAATCTAATTCTAGTCTACTGATTATTTACTTATCAAATTATATATGTAATAAACTTGAAAAATGAATTACCAGTATGATATATTATTAAAATGTTCAGTAAATACAGCTAAATTTGGTGAATATTCTTCTCCTTTTTCAATCGACATATAAAGTATTTCTGATAATTGAATTTTAAGAAATAATTCCGAATCGAGTATTGTTAATTGTTCACTTATATCCATTGAATGAAAATCAAATAATGTTGCTCGTTTGGATGATATAGAATTTTGTATCAAAACAATATCTTGTTGTGATTGTTCATGAATAGTTTTTAATTTTTTAAAACGTTCAAGTGATTTTCGTCGTAATAATTTACTTAATTGAAGTTCACCTTGACGAATTAACGTTGTAACAAAATTTAATAATTTCTTCATTAAATTTTCACATAATTCATTACTTAAACAAAGAAAAAACACTTTTCAATTAAGAAGAATAGCTTTCGGAAAATTATCATTTTATCCATTCATATGTGAAAATGAAGAGTATTATTGAGCTTAAGAAAGGATCATTTTTTTATTGCAAAAGGCAGACATCTTATGAGAGAAAAAATATGAAGTAGTAAATATTCATACTCGATTTCATCGATAACACGAATAAGAAGTGAGAAAGCATATCGAGCAATTTTTTTCTTTGTTTCAAATTGAGAAAAAAATTTATAACGTTGAATAAGTTTTTCAATAAGATCACTCGGAGTAATAAATGTACGATATGTTGTTAAAAATGCTTCTTGATATAGAAAATCTAAATTCATATAATATTCAAATAAATAATATTTTCGAAATGTTAATATTAATACCTTTCTTATCGGGTGATGTTGCTCGAATAATCAATGCATCAATGGAACCACCACGTAATGGAGGATCTTCATTCTACAGATAAATATGGTAAAAAATGATACCATTTAAATCGTTCTTTTTCTTACCAGATTAAAAACAAGTAAATGAGATATACTTTCAAGAAATAAATCAGTAGTATATTGATTTGTTCCATCATTTAAATAATTATTATTGAGAGTTAAACGATCCATCGAAAGATTATCTTTAGACTGAACGGAAAAACAATTTATTTATTTATTTAATTAAAAATTCTCTTACTGATCTATTGTAAAGATTTTTTGTTATTCCATCTTTATTTTTTAAACATTCTTCACTATTCGAAAATATTAATGTTTGAGGAAAATGTTGATGAACATGTTCAAATAAATCTTCAAAACGTCGTTGTGATGATGGCACAAAACATGTATCACGAAGAAATAATTCAGCTTCATTTTGATCATACCGATCAAATAACGACATATATGCTCGAGCTAAAAATTAAACCAAAGAAACATTATTAAAATAGATACTAACGGAAATATGCATATTTATTAATCTATTCGAAGACAATCAGCATTTATATAGAAAATTTTTCCCTTCCGCTTTCCGTTTTCTACTGTCGTGTTTCCTGTTTTATTCTATTACTAAATAAGAATACCTATTTGTCGTTTTGGTGGTAATGGTGGTGGTGGTGGATCATTTACTAAATTTATCTGTTGATGTTCTTTAATTTCATTAAAGTTTTTTTGTTGTTTTTTAAAACTATCTTTTAAAGAATGTCTTGCCATATGTGTTTCATATATTGTATCAATACTATTACGACGACATGATGATATATATGAATGATTTGGTTGAGATAAATAATCAGTTGATGGTGATCTGATTGTTGTATTTGCACGTACAGCATCATCAAGTTCGCGTGTATATTTTTCAACAATCTGATTAATATCATCGACAATTAATTGTATACGTTCTTCATTATCATATTCGTATGCGGGTGGATATCGAACAGAACTTGGACTTGCTGTATTTCGAGAACGAGTAGATATAATTGAAGCTGATGAACTCACCGGACGTTTTTCTCGTTTAGGAGGAAGAGCTGGAACAGAATCATCAAAAGAACTAGGAAAAAAATATAAGAAATAACAAATAATTGAAAAAAGATTAGCTTTATTAATTACTTATTGATTGATTGAAAGCTTTGCAATGATTCAGAACGTGTTTGTATCGATGAATTAATACAAATCTATACAAAAATAAAAATAAATGAATTAATTTCTTATTTTTTGTTTCTACTTTAACAGCTTGCATAAGATCCTTAGCAATTTTTCGATATCTATCATCATCATCATGTTTTTTTGAAAATAATAATTTATCCGACCATTCAATTAGATCAGCTAATAAATAACAAACATCAGTAAGAAGATATGTTCTAATAAGGGGAAAAAAAGAAATAAAATTATTTTATTCAAGATAAAAATAATACCTATATGATTCTGATTGACATTCAAATACTCCTTTCAACATACTATCAATATCAAAAATATTGTCAATTAAGGATGTTATAATATTAGCTAATATTTCAAGTTTATTATGTGTTAACACTTGATCAAGATAACTTAAAGATTGGTGTACTTCTTTTTCACATTTATGTAATCGTTCATAATATGTTTGTGGTGACTATTTAATAGAAAATAAATAAATAAATGAATGATTGTTTATTTATTTTATCTATAACATACCGATAATGGATCGTTACTAATTAGTGAATTCCGATCAGTTTTTTTATTTGATCTACTTGTATTCCAATGATATCCGTTAGTTAAATCAGTTTTAATATTATAACGATTAACCATATCACCAATAACACGACGAAATGAATGTCGAGAAACTGGCATTATTTTCTAATATAGTGTCTAAAAAAAACAAATTTGTTCTATATAGATATATATGTATGTGTGTGTGTATATAGAAGGAAAAAAGTTACTTATTTAATCTTCCAATATGTTTGAGTGATGCCAACACTGATGCATCGAACTGTTGTCAATGCTCTCACCAACAGCAGCAGGTCAATGACGTGAGTTAGTACTAGCAAGAGCAAAAAATAACATTACTTCTCGCCAATACAGATCAATCATCATCATCATAGTCGTCGTCGGCTTTTCTATCGTCATATATTTTTCAGTAATGATAGTAGTGCACACGACCATTCGCTGAACGGAATCATAGTATGGCATCTATCATTATCTAGAGAAGTTGATCGAAAGAAACAGAATGGAAAAAAAAGAAGAAGAAAAAAAAAGCCGAGATGTGGTGTAACACATTTTCCATCTGTTGAGATGTGTAAGGAGCAATAAACAAAACTAGTTATACTATTCATTATATCAGATGAATAGAAAAATGATGTGCTGACAGGTTGTTTTGCCGAAAAGGATGTTCTCTTGTCTGTCTATTAGGAATAATGACAGATCATATTCTTCGCAGAAGATCATTGATTGAGTAATATTGACTGATAATCAAAAGTAACATATCAAAATATAATCAATACAAATTACTCTTTGTTATTGAACCGAAGAGTGAGAGAAAAAGAAAAGAACTAAATTGTATCATTTATCTCATTGTTTTAAAAATTTGACTTATATATGATATAGTATTTTATCTTTTTTTTTTTACATATGAAATTATAGACAAATTCAATTAGATGAATATAGATTGCTTCGGATGAAAAATAATATATATATATATATATATATATATCAATATGGAGAAAGAAAATGAATATATGATGATGTGCCATTAATCAAAATTCAGTAGAACAAACATTATATAGATCATTCTTTGTAGCTATTATGTGTATATATAACACAGATCTATCATTTTTATTTATTGAATAAAATTAATTTGACAGAATAATAGATTCAAACAATCACATTGTGAAAATTAATATGCTGTCAACAATCATATTAGATTTATTCATATATACATATAAAATATTAAATAACAGAAAGTATATTTTATGTCAACTTGAGAAATAAACTAAAAAGAGATGATGAAATTTATTTTAAACAAAAATCTAAATAAATATTAACAAGAAAAACAACATAGAGATCAATAATCAATGATTACTTTGTTTTTCAAAAATGTCTTAAATTTTCTTTTAAATACGTTCATTTTTAATGCAAATAAAAAAGAAGGCATAATTAAACTAATACAATCAGCAGAAAATTCTTTTTCTTTTTATGTATTCTAAATTTTTTTTAATACAAAGATTCACTTAATATAAATAAATATATTTTCTATATACATATAAAACATGAAGAATTCCTATCACAATGATATAGTTGGACCCGTATATTGAAGTGATTCTGTATAATATTCATCATCAAATATTCTTTTAAGAATATAATTTCTTTCGTTATCATTTATATCTGTTGTTGATTGTGATGATGGTATCGCAATATAGCATGTACAATCATTTTCATTTGAATATGGTGGACTAAGTATATCTAAAAAAGCACAATGTTCATTATTAATTGCATATATTTCATGAATATTTGATTGATTTGGATAAATAACAGCTGTTTCTGATTGTGAATTAATTGTTGTTGATGTATGCTTTGTACAGATAAGTTCTGAAGAATCTTTTTCAAATAAAACATTATAAGCATTTAAATGTCCATGACCATCAAGAACTTTAATTAAACCAAACATATGTGGATGATCATGTAATGGTATACGATGATGTGATTTAATAATAAATATTCCAACTGATATAATTTTATCTTCATATAATTTCATATAAAAAACAGGTGCATTGGATTTTAAAAATTTTTCTAAATTTTTTTCATCAATTGTATTTAATGATGAAGTATTTTGTATATTATCAAATAATGTAAAATTTAAATCATATTTTGTTATTTTATTCATTAAACGTTTAAGTGAATCAATATGATCATTTTGATTTAAATTATGATCATTATTTGATAATAAATTTGAGAAAGTTTGTCGAGCTTGTTTAATCAATGTTAATATAAGTGATGATGATGATTGCATATCTGAAAAAAAGAAATGTTTACAAGATCTCAATTAAGTTTGTCTTTGTTTTCTTTTTTGTATTGTTTTGTTTATTAGAAATAGAAAAAGAAAATGAACTTGAACTGGACTAAGTAAGTATACACAGAAAAAAAAAATGTTGAAATTTTTTTTTTGTTTAGTCTTTTCTTTCGTTTTTTGTTAATGACGATGAGAACGATATTTCGAATCAATTTGTTCAAGTAAAATCTCAAGTGGTAGTGAACAAGGTACACTCGAATATAGTGATTGATGAAAAAGATTGATTTTTTTTGCAAAATTTTCCTCAGTATCATTTGTTAAATTTGGAATATTTGAACAAATTAATGAATAATTAATAATAGATAAAAGTCGACGACTTATATCAATAAGACTGATTCTAAAATAAATTAATATATAAAATAATACCAAAAAACAAAAAAATTCAATTACTTTTTGAAATATTTATCTGAAGTAACATCTGCTAATTGATCACATAATCGATGAACTTGAGAGAGAATATTTGAGTGTACACGATTTGAAAGTGATGTCTAGAAATAAAATTATTAATTAAATATAATCTTTTCACATTACCCCCTAACTGTGTTTTAAAAAAGATATATATGTATTTCATCGTGAACGTTACTTTTTAAAAATATTTATTTAGTGTTATATGAAAGTGAAATTATAACTTGTAAGACATTTATCTACATATGTAATTATTGATTTTGACTTTGAATTCAATTGCATTAGTTAATGCTAAATCAATACTCTAGAGTGTGACTTTTTCTATTTAGAAAGACTACATTTATTCTCTTGAGTTTACATATTGACATAAAAACAATAACTTTTCTTAGAATCAAAAAATCGTTCGTTTGTTTTTTTTGTAAGAACAAGACTTAAAGAAGGTCAAAGGTTAAGATCTTTTGAGTAAAAGAATGAGACTGCTAGCAGCTCTTACATAGAAACGTTTTCTTGATTTTTACATACCTGTCCATGTCGAATTTTGTCAAAAATAATCAATAATTCTACATATTGTCGTGCAAAACCACCACGTCTATTCCAATGTGGAATATTTGCTCGTTGATGGTCTAATGAATCTAATATATCTTTCGCAAATCCATAATCTCCTAGACAAATAAATAAAAATAATTTAAAATAAATGCGGAAACTTCGGATTTTATCCGAGTGTTATGTATACTGCAAAAAGTATATATGGAAATCATAGGAAAATATCAGTATTTTTGTAATAACTCGAGAATTGCTCGTCCAATTAGGCTCATCTTCAGGCTCGACCGAGATCTTGATGAGACTGAACTGTGTAGAAAATTCCATCAAAATCTCCCTCTCCTTTCGAAAGGTATCGTGTATACGGACGGCCGGACACACTGACCGATTCTAGTAGTGTACTCAATTTTTGAGTACACCAAAAGAAAAGAAAAATTAAATCAAACCTTTTAAAAGTGTATCATGAAAAACATAATGACAGTAAGTATCATGTGCTCTTCTCCATTGTTTAGCATCCATCCAAAGACGAACAGCATTCATCCATTGTTTATCATATTCAGCTCGTTGTGCTTTTGTTGATAGAATTAATTTTAATGGAATATTATATTTATCGACTAATATTTGTTCATCTTGTGATAAATCTTTATCTGATATAACATGACGATGAAGAAATTCATTAACCATTTTTTCTCGACTAAAATAACAAAACATTTTCTTTATTCTAGATAAAAAACGATTTCCTATTACTTTATTAAATCATTAATATGAAGTAATACAAATATGGATAATTGCCATAAACCAAAATTTTCAAGTTGTTGAGCAAAATTAACATGTAAATGTGTATCATTCTCAATGGATAATGGATAACTACCTAATGATTGAAGTGTAATATATAATATCCAACTAAAAAACATATTTTATTTGAAACATAAAAATTATTTAGTTTTTTTTTTGTGTTCACCTAAGTTGATAATCAAAAGCATTTTGTGTATATGAATGAACATCGAAAATATTATCAAGTGGATATGTATCATCGGTATAGAGTTTTAATAATTTCCAACGAAGATCAAGAGATTTTGTATTTCCATAATGAGCTATTGGTTCAAGCCAACAATGTTCATGATAGGCAGTTTCAAAATCACGAACAATAGTTGAAATTGAATCTGATGAAGAATTAGCAAACCTAAATAAAATATTCTTTTATTTTCATTAAAAAGTTTTTATAGGGTTTCGATCAGACTATGGTTTGTATCTATACTCAAAGAATACCATAGTAAGGGAAGGAAGTATATCATCCGTTTTTTTAATTATAGTTAGGTTTCAGAGTGATTGAAAAAAATTCGAAATTTCTTTGTAGAAGAACGACTAAAATAAAATCTTAGTTAGTTTGATAGGTATTACCATAGATGTAATGCTAATGCCATTTGCCAATAAATAGTACGATTTTGATCAACTAAATTTTGACCTTTCACAATAAATTCACCAGATAAAATAGCAATTGATCGTTGAAAATCTTTTGTATAAACATCAACAATCTAAATGAATGAATTTTATTAAAGAGATAAACAAACAAAAAAATAATTTCTTACATCTTCATGCGCACAATGACGAAGAATATCACGAACATTATTACTACCCGATGCAGCATGAACAAGAGCTGCTAATCGAAGATCACCTTCATCTTGTGCAAATTTAACACAATCATGAAAAAGACCACGAGATAATAATTCACAATTTTGCATTATCCATTGCTAAATAATACAGATATACAGTAACAATAACAAAAAAACAAGAGATGTTTTTACTTGTTGTTGTGGTGGTTGACACAATATACATTGATGTAACCAATCTGACAGCATACGTCGTCGTTTTTGTTCTTCAAAATAAGATTGATTAATTAATTGAACATTTGTTGGTGTTTCAATAGGTCCCCATAATAAACGACATAAATCAAGAACTTGTAAAGAATAATCAGTTAAAGATTGAATTGAATTTTGATCATCCATATTTTCTGTTAGATAAACAATAAAATAATTAATAGAGCTACTTAGAACGGTATAGTAATAATCGATAACACATATTCAGAATGAGTCAATCTCTTTCTCGGTCAATTTTCGTAATTGACATATAGAACAAAACGATTTTATATTCAAATAATTTATTAAAATTAAAATTGAAAAAACAAAACAAGATTATCTCATGATTAAAATAAATCTCATTTTTTTTAAATATTCTGTTCATTGATCTTACTTTCTTCTAAAATTTCTGTATAAAATTTAAGAAATCTTTGAACAACATCTGCATCTTGACGAACTTGATAATGTGGTACAGTTCCTTTGCCTTCAATTTGTTGTGCACATGAAGAATAATATTTTTCAAGAAAATTTTCTAATTCAATATTTGTTTGTTCAGGAAATTGTATTGGTCTTTGAAGCAAAATACGTGTTTCATTAAAAGCTAAAAAAATAATCAATCGATGTTTTAAAAAAACTAAAATTTCGAGATTTTACTATCAATCGATCCATATTGAAGATCATGTGAAAAATTCGTTCGAAAATATTTTCCACGGCTATTTGCAACATTTTTTGGTAATTTGGAATAAATACGTTCACGTATAGGTTTTGTTGGAGCATTAAATGTTATTTGAGTTTTATCATGATCAGCAATGCTACTTTTTTCCATTATTGGCTCTAAAGAAAAATACAATAGATTAATTTATAACTCTCTACATCGAATTAATCATTACCACGATTGATGGGAGTTGGTCGATTGTCAGATGTAATAATTTTTGTTGATGTAATCATTCGATCTAAAATACAAAATTGAATTTTAAAAGATATTTCGCTTTTTTTTCTTACCAGTTGCTTGTTGAAAACCATCGAAATCATCTTCATCATCATCGCAAAACATTGATTGTGCTAATTGTTCAACAATATTTGGTCTTAAACCAATTAATGATTGATTAGCAAAACGAACATGTTGTTGTTGGTGTTGTTGTTGTAGTGGATTAATTAATGATGTTGTATTTTCTTTTTCTTCTGTATCCATTGCTTGAGATTTAGGTGATGCTAATGAATATGTATCATTTAAGGCAACTGTTTGATCAAGAAAATTTGTATTAATTGTTTTTGGTAATTGTTGTTGAGCTGGTGGTGGTTTAGCAACAACAAAATCATCTTCACTACCATCAAGACCATAACGTGTAAAATGTTTAACTGTAAATGTCCATGAACCATCATTTATTCCATAATTAACAAATTCTCCATCGAATTTTTTTGTTACTTCACGTAAATATTCACCATAATTCATTGCTTTAATACGTTCAATATCCATGATTTCTTCTCGTGTTGTTCGATCAATTGGATAAACACCAAGTAATGTTATACGAGCAGGGATGTTTAATTCTTCACCAACTGATGGTTTATTATTATCATCAGGATAGACAGTCACTTCATGACGATCAATTTCAACTAAATAACAAGAAGAAAATTTTATAGGCAAAAAAACGAGAAAGTTTTGTTTTTACTAATTTGATCAAGATCAAGTCCAGCAACATTAACTTGTCCATAGAATGTAACTGAACCATATTTTTCATGACCAACTGTAAATTGTTTTACTAAACATTGACCATTATCACTAAATAAAGATTTTAATTCTGTTGATGATGGTTTCATATAATAATCTTGACGTGATAATTTTGGTAGATGATAAGCACGATTATCTGTATTTGATTTATGAACTTTTGTTCGTTGTAATGAATTATTTGATGATGAAGAGGGAGGAGGAGTTGTTGCAGGTGGTGGCGATGATGAATTTGGTGATTGTACAATTGTTGTTGATGGTTGAGAAACTGGAGGTGATGGTTGTTTATGAACAATTAATGGAGTTGAATGATGAAGTGGTAACATTCCACGATTATTATCTAAAGAAAATTAAATTATTTTATAAAACTTCTGTTCACTATTAGAGAATTTATTTTTGAAATAAACTCACTTGATGGATGTAAAGTTTGTTCATTATTCACTGTTGTTGATGAAACATAAGCGGATGCAGTATCAACTGTTGCTGTTGAAGATGATGATGAATTTGATTGTTGTATTCCATAAATATTTGTATTATTATTCATATTTGCTAATGTTTCAAGTTCAGCTAAACGTCTCATAGGATAAAGTGAACGAATAGATTCGGATTGTAATGATGATGAATCCATAAAATCATTTGATAAACGTAATTTTGACATTTTAGTTTTTCCAATTAAAACAAGTTCTTCTTCTTCACTAAAATCTGCTGTTAATGGACTTTTAATTTGTCCTGTTGGTGTATGTAATTGTTGATTAGGTGATTTCGTTTCATCATTTGTTGTATTTGATGTTGGTGATGATGAAACAGGTTTTAATTTAAAACAAATATCAACTAATGGACGTGCAGATGATGTTTTACGTGAATTTGATTGTAATGGTAATGTTATAGGTGTTGATGTTGATGTTGTTACTGTTGTTGTTGCGGTTGATGAAGTTGAAACAACAATTAAATCTGTTGGTGGTTTTATTTGATCAGCATTACTAAAATCTTTTTTACCACGACTAGCAAATGGATCAAGAAGTGATGCAGCAAGAAAACGTTGTTGAATTAATGAAACTGGTTGTTGAACTTGTGTTTGAGCAACATTTACTGGTGCATTATAATTTTGTGTCGATCCAAATGGTGCAGAAAAACCAAATGATTGATTTGCTGGTTGTGCTGTTGGTTGTGGTTGTGATAAATTAAAACCACCAAATGGTTGAGGATTAAACATTGATGAAGTTGTTGTTGCTGGTGTTCCTCCAAATAAACTTGGTGCACTACTTGTTGCTGTTGTTGAAAACGAAAATGGTGTTGCATTTGATGCAGTTGGTTGTGCGCCAAAACCACCAAAAATTGGATTTGCTGTTGCTGTTGTTGCAGCTGGAGTACCAAAAATACTGTTTGTTGTCGATGTTGGTGCCATAGAACCAAAACCTGTAAATGCTGGTGTACTTGTTGCAGCACCAAAAACAGGTGCAGCTGTACTTGTAGTTGTACCAAATATATTAGTTGTAGTTGGTTGAGCACCAAATGGATTTCCAAGTGCTGGAGCTGCTGTTGCTGTCGAAGTTGGCACACCGAATATATTTGTTGTCGTAGTTGGAGCTGTTGTACCAAAAGGTGTGGTCGTTGTTGGCTGAGAAAATATACTTGTACTTGCAGCTGGTTGAGATCCAAAAGAGAATGGTGTTGATGTACTTGTCGCTGTTCCAAAACCTTAGAAAATTAAATAAAAATTATGCACTTTTTTTTTAAATATTAAATAATCGATTTAAAATTACCAAATGCTGGTTGAGTTGTAGCTGGTTTAGCACCAAATGGACTTCCTGTCGTTGTTGAACCAAAAATACTTGTTGATGGTTGTGTTGCACCAAATATTGATGTTGTTGCTGGTGCTGTTGAAGTTGCTGTACCAAATGGACTAGCTGTTGTAGCTGCAGGTGTTCCAAAAATACTTGTTGTTGGTGCTGTACTTGTACCAAATGAAAATGATGTTGCTGATGTTGCTGGTGCAGCTAAATAATTATTCATTATATATAATTTATCATGCTATTGAAAAAAAACAAATTATTCATACCAAATGGACTTGCTGTTGTTGTACCAGCATTACCAAATATACTTGATGTTGTTGATGCAGTTGGTGCAGCAGAAAATGCTGCTAAAATGACAAATATATGGAAAATTTAATAATTTATTTATAAATAAGTATATATTCATACTAGTAGTAGTACCACCAAATCCTCCTGGACTAAATGGTGTTGCTGATGCAAAACTTGTTCCACCAAACATCGAAGTTGCTGCTGCAAACTTTCGATTCGATTGATAATCTTCCATACGTAATTCTTCCATTGATTTACTTATATATTCTTTCATTGCACATATACATTGAAGTTTAGTATTTATTGTTTGAAATGTATTATTTTTTGTACGCATAGTATCTAAATAATAATAATAATAATTTATTTTAATTATTTAAACGAAAAATATATATTTTTTGTTTTTACCTTGTCCAGCTACAGCTTCAAATTTAACTGTTGTACCTACTTGAGTTGTTCCTGTTAATCCTGAACCAAATATACTTGCTGGTTGTGCAGGTTGAGCTGCACCAAATGTTGATTGTGTTGCACCAAATATGGATGTTGGTTGAGTTGTTGGTTGTGCTCCACCAAATAAAGATGATCCACCAAAACCTAAATAGTTCAATTAAAATAAAATATTCGCTTATTTCAAAGCATTTTGTCTTACCTGTTGTTCCAGTAGTTGGTGCTGTTGCTGTTGTTGTACTACCAAATGCAGTTGTACTACCAAATGGACGAATTGTTGATGAACTCTGTAATCCAGTACCAAATGTAAGTGGTTGTGATGCAGCGGGTGCTGGTGTTGTTGCAGTTGGATTACCAAATGTAAATGTTGAATTTAATGCAGAAGGAGCAGTTGTACCAGCTGCTGGTGTAGTTGAAGAACCAAATAGAAATCCAGTTTGTGCCGGAGCTGGAGCTGTAGTTGTGGATGTTGCACCAAAAGCTGTAAGATATAAATAAAAAGGTAAACTAAAATCTATTAATTTACAATACATACGATTTGATGGTGCCGTACTACCAAACGAGAATTGACCGGTACCTCCAAACATGTTGTTTTTCTTTTTAAATCAGTCAAATTTCAATAGATGAGATGAAGTAATATTTATCGTCTGATAAATTTCTTCATTTTTTTCGCTCGTGCTTAACAGGGTAAGTGATTAACCAATGAAATTTATTTCATAGATGTCACTCAATAGATTTTGTTTTCAAATTTCTATTAAAAAAAACATATTACATAAGAAAATAATCTAATATATTTTGAAATTTATACATTAATTTCTTTTTATTTGTTTATCAATAAACCAATTGGCGCATATTGATGACGATGCAACGGACGAATTATAATAACTATTGATTGTTGGCAGTTTATTTTGCTTTTTTCTTTTTTAGCTCTCTAAATACAATTTAAGATAATCAACGTTATAAAAAAACAAGATTAATGGAAGAACCAACAAAAGCTGATATTGATGCAATATTTAAACGATTAAGAACATTACCGGCTAATAAGGTTTTATCTATGATTAATTCATTTTTCATTGATTTATTATACCAAAAAATATTTTTTTATAGGTGTGTTTTGATTGTGATGCAAAAAATCCAACATGGGCATCAGTAACATATGGTGTTTTTTTATGTATTGATTGTTCAGCAAGACATCGTGGTCTTGGTGTTCATTTATCATTTATTCGTTCAATTAATCTTGATACCAGTTGGGGATGGCTTCAACTTCGGTTAGTTTTTTTACTTAAATTCTAAACAAACAATTATTTTCCTATTTATAATTTAGAGCCATGCAAGTTGGTGGTAATGGTAATGCTGTAAGCTTTTCTTTTTTTATTTGTAACAATAGGGAAAACGATGATTTTTTTGTGATTAGGATGCATTCTTTCAACAACACGGTTGTAATACAAAAGATACACAACAAAAATATAATAGTCGAGCTGCACAACTTTATCGTGAAAAACTTCACCAACTAGCAACAAAAGCTATGAAGCAATATGGAACGAAGGTAAAGAAAAATTTCGAATACTATTTTCTTGTCGTTATATTTTTTTTCTCTAGACTTTTCTTGATGACGGCCATAAAAATGAACATAGTCAATCAGCAATTGAGAAAAAAGAAGGTGATTTCTTCCATGAACATATTCAAGCACCAGCTAAAACTAGTTGGGACGATAATGTTACATATTCAGCACCTGCACCAATTCTTGATAAAAGTTTGTTTTTGTATTCAAGTTATTCATTAATTTTTATTCTTTACATTTTCTTTTAGATGAACAAGAGGGTGAAGGACCTTCTATAGATCCAAATGCATTGAATAATGATGGTTCAGCAAAAAATCTTGATCCAAAAAAATCAACTATTGGTCAACGTCGAGCACCACAACCAAAAAAAGTTTGAATATTAATTATTAGTTTTTTTATTCTTTGAATAATTGTATTTTGTAGAAAGGATTTGGTGCACAAAAAGTAACAACTGATTTCAAAGAAATTGAACGTAATGTACAAGAACAAGAAAAACAACGTGAACAACAAGTACAATATGAAATTGAGAATCGTAAAGAAACAGAAAAACAACTAGAAAAACAAATGTATACTTACTAAGAAAAATAAATAAATTAAAATAATTATATATATTATAGGGCTGGTCTCAAATTTGCTTATGAAGATATGGGTAAAAAACGTGAAGTTGAAGAAGCAAAATTAAAACAATCAAATCCACAAAAAGCTGAACAAATGGAACGTCTTGGTATGGGTTTTGGTAATCGAAGGTAAATATTAGTTGTTATTTTTGTTAATAATTCAAAATATTTCGTATATTATTTATCTTTTAGTGGTGTGAGTCATAGTGCTATGACAGATATGCAAACAATTCAACAAGAAGGTTTAGCAACAACACGAAATGTTTCACTTGCAACAAAAAGTCGAGATTTTTTTGATGATTTTAATACATCTGGATCCGGTTTTGGTAGTCGATCAAAGTATGAAATGAAATTTTTAGAATTAATTACATTGAATTTATTCTCTAGTTATGATAATTTATCATCAAGAAATAGTGATCGCTATGATGAGGAATCTAGAAAGTACTAATATGTCGCTCTATTATATATAAATGCACGTGCTTTTCTAACATATTATTTCTGGGATAGAGACTATAAATAATGCTTATTTAACTTCTTCTTATATATTTATATGGGAAATAATAAGATAGAATTTTTTGTTCGACTTGCACTGAATATTTTCTGAAAATCCTTGACGATAATAATCAATTTAACTCAATAGAAATAATAAAAAATAAAAATACCGGAAATCCGTGTCTATTTAGAAATAACTAAAGTCTTTAGATATCTGCACTAATTTGAATAGAAATTTTTGATAACTATATGTATAGATTTTCTATAATAAATTTTTTTTATGATATAGACTTGATGATGATTTATTCAAACCAAAATCTTCATCAAAGAATACGGATACGTTTAGTTCTGAATGGGAAGTTATTGATCGTAAAACTCCAACAAAAGAATTTGGTACTAGTGGAACAAGCAATTCATTTTCATCGAATTATGGTAGTTCATCTGCAAATAGTGGTGGTTTTGGGTAAAGAAAAATTTATTTTTTTTTGTCGTTAAAATTAAATGATCTATTTGATTTCGTAGTTCATCATCATCATCATCATCATCAAAAGTAACAACATCTTATAATAGTGGCAATAATGATGGCGATGCTTTGAAACGTTTTTCAAATGCTAAAGCAATATCAAGTGATCAATTTTTTAATAAAGATTCTGATGTATGAATATCTTAAAAATATAGGACAAAAAAAAATTTAATTTATATTTTCTAGAATGATCGTAATAATGTAACATCACGTTTTCAAGGTAATACAAGTATTTCAAGTGAAGATTATTTTGGTGATCCAAATAAAAAATCTCAAGATCGTGGAAATAATTATCAAGGTCCAGATTTAACAACAATGAAAGCTGATTTTAAAGAAGGTGTTACAAAAGCAGCTGGTCGTTTATCATCATTAGCTAGTAGTGTTATGTCTAGTATTCAGGTAAGAGATATTAAAATCTAAATAAAGATTTTTTCCTTTGTATTTTACAGAAATAAAAATACTAAATATTTTTTTATAGAAAAAATAAAATTTTGGGTAAGATACATAAATCTAATATATATATGGAGAAGGTTTTGTTTTGAAATTATTATTATCATTTGGTTGTGGGTTTTATTATAAAATATTTTTTAACAAAAAACACATTGTCTAAATATGTTTGTTTCTTTTAGGATCGGTATTGAATTGTTTTAAGAAGAATGATGTGGCTTTGTTATCATCTTTATATACTTGTTTTATCTTCTTTTCCTATGTCAGCATTTTATTTCTTGTTTAACATACAGAAAGTAACTTTATATCAACAAAAAAAATCATTTAGTGTCATACTTTTATCATCTTACTATTTTTTCTCTGGTTGTTTGTTATATCTTTGTCTTGTGTGTTTGTTCTTCTTTTAATTTATTTTAAAAAAAAAGCATACTTGTCATTCATATCTAAATGCATATTAATATAAATATAAAAGAAACTTGTATCGATTTCATTGAATCAATTGATTAGGATCTAATAGATGAAAATTTTAGAATTCTATTTTCAATATAAGAAAATGTTTGATGTAGATTTTTAGTATAAAATATTGGACGTCATGCATAAAGTACGTTCAAAGAAGCGGTGGGGATAATGGATGTATCGAGGTCGTATCTCTCAGGACTAGAGATGTGCGGGACCAACACTTGAATTTGAGGCTATATAATGACCTTTACCATGTTGATCTTATTCAAGAAAAATGAAACAAAAAAGTGTTAATCGTCCACTAAACAAAGGGTGTGGGTGTGGGTGTGGGTGTGGGTGAGGGTGAGGTTGTAGCTGTGGGTATGGGTGCCCTCTTTCGATCAACAAGGGACACCTACACCCTCATAATTTGACCTTTTAAATCTTTGCGTCGTCAAAATTAAAGATCTGTCAACTAATTAGATCTAATAAAAAGTACAATGCGAAGAAAAACGAAAAAATCAAAATCCAGAAGATCGAGCCGAAGATGGTCTCGGTACATCCGTACACGGTGGGCTAATACGTATTTTATAGAAAAGTTGAGATTCAAAACGAATATTGTTCTTCAGATGTATTCGATCGTCTTTCTAATTTTCTTGAACGTTCTTTATGTATGGCTCGTTAGTATCTCAATTAAAAAAACATTTAGAAGCAATTTATAGAAATGAAAACACTATATGATACTTGAAAAAGTCCATCAACATACTCGAATCATAACAAGAAAAAATCGATTAAAGTATGAATAATATTTAATGATTTTCAAATAATAATAATGATTTTTTTTGGTTCTACTGAGAATCCTTATAGAAAATTTTACTTGCTGATTTTTACATGAATAGTAACGAGAAAAAATTTCAAGCATCAATGTTTGCTTTTTTTAAACACCAACGAAATATAACAAGAATCACTTGTCTTCATCGGCTATCAAGTAATAAAAGTAGTTGAAAGAGAGAAAAAAAAAAGAAATAAAGGTTATGACATTAATTGCATGACGTATCACAATCATATTTGCATATAGCTTATCGGATACAGGCAAGCATCAGTCAAATTTGTATACTTCATCTATTAACTAACTACAAATATGAAATATATTATTAAACGAAAATCTTCTTTCCAAAATAAAAAATTCGAAATTAGTTGTGATTCAAAACAATTATGTACAGCGAAGGTAACACCTTGTCAAAAATACAATGGTCAATACAAGTAGATATATCTTTATTTAATTCTTATACAAAATAATCTTATTTTATATAGTATTATATTATCAAATTCGAATAGCAAGTCAATGGACGAAAATTCTTGTATTATTGAACCAAACTCAAAATATCCCCGAAGTTATTTTATTCATTTAATAAATAAGGAAACAAATCAAATAATTCGTTCGGCTCAATTATCTTATGAAGTTTGTAGTTATAATAATTATCTTTATACAATTATTATTGGTAGAAAATTATATAAAGTACGAAGTTGTGATTTAAAAGATCGTCGTTTAACTATTGTTGATGCAATTCAATCAAATGATTCTTCAACAATTAATTGTCCGAAAACTTTATTTCAAGTTATTGATTCATTTACAAAATCAAATAAAAAATATCATGTTACAATTAATGATATAAAATGGCAATATATTTATCTTGCTATTACTATTCTTCTTAATCTACATGAATGTAAATAAATTAAAATTTGAATTATAATAAATAAACAGACTCGATGATTTGCGAAATTCTTTGATTGAAATGTTTCAATATTGATTCATAAGAGATTTATCAAATAGTGAGAATGCATATGTGTAAGTAAGTTATGATGATTTCACAAATCGATTATATAAATCATTTTTGTTATTAATTCAATGGTATTTATGTGTCGTTTATTATTATTACACAAAAAACGAGTATGATATATGAATATTTACCAACAAGGATTATGTTCTGTTTTTAATGACGTAGTGCCATATGGCACGTAAATGATTATATAAATATTTGGAATACTTGATGAACAATCTTATATTATAAAATGGTGAAATATCTTTCTTAAATTTTTTATTGTAAAATAAATACATATATGTAAAATTAGATAAAGTAGAATGTTAATTTATTTCTCATGATCAAAGTGTCATTATCGAAATTATAATTATATTTTGTTTGAATGCTTTTTATGAATGACGCATTTCTAGAACATTTTATTACTCAAAATAAATAGATATTCATTGAGATATCTAGTTTTCATACATCTTACGAAGGTGTAAGTGAAACAAAATGCGTCATCAGAACGTTAAAGATAGTAAACGACGTCATCCTATCTTGTTAAAAGAATATCAGATAATATAAAACGAATACCCTACTTATTACATTTACAACAATCATGAAGCTCAGTATTATTTTTTTCGTTATTACTTTATTCATGATAGACGGCGTACAAAATGCGCCCGCCATTCATCCAATCCATGTTCACACAATTCCATTACATCCAGTTACTGTACGACCGACACCTACCAAAATAAAAACTTCAAAATCTAGTGTACCATCTATCACTCCTACTCAATCTTGGTGGCATTGGGTAACCTCTACTCGACATACTCATATTATTTCAACTCCATCTTCGATACATCATCATCGTTTACCATGGTATAAACAAGATACATTTCAACGAGTTTTTCGTATTTTTCTTTTCGTCGTATTATTTGCTATTGTATGTAAAATCCTGAAAACTATTTGTAAATCAAAGAAACAAAAGAAACTCAATAAGAAAACTAATCCTATTACAGTACACAACAAAATGTATGTTTCTACAATTGACAGCAACCGTGAAGAAGCACCACCATCATATGTAACAATTCATAATATTTAAATATTTTAAAACAACTAAGAATGTCCAGAATAGAACTATCTGATTTTATCGATGTATTTCATGACACATATATCATCTAGTTGTTTGACTAGATTCTTAGTCATATCGATACTGATAAGAGAATGAGTGATACATAGATATTTTCTTTTATATACAAATGAAGTATTTTGTCACATTGTTAGTCTCTCTCTCTTCTTTTACTTGTAAAAAATATTATACTTGTTAATTTGTCTCTATCGATAATATTCAAGAAAAATTATTTCTTTTCTTAAGTGTATAATACTTGAAAGTAATCTTTTTATTATTGAAATTCGGAAAACAACAAGACAAAATATAATAATTTTACAAAGAAAAAAGAAAAGAAAACATAGGACTTAGAATAATTGTTCGTTTGATTATATCTATTATGTACCACAGAAATATTCTATCAACTCATGAAGTATTTTTCTTGAAATTGTTATTGGAGAATGATTAGATGGCACACTAGCTGAGATACTATATACAGCACAGACTTTCCCAATGTCCCACACGCATACAACAAAACATAACGTAATTCAGCTACTCTCACCGATCAAAACCTGTTGAAATTGAGTGCAATTGGGATAATGAGGTGAATACCTTTTTGACTATGTTTGTCGTTATGGTAATGAATAAGTTTCATCTGATTACGCGACTGGATATTTTGACGTCGAGCTGCCGATACCATGTGTAAGGATATTATGGCATCTATGATTTATGATGATAATGATGAAAGATTTTAACAAAATTACTCAGTATAGAATAAAAATCAAGACGAAATCTTCACGCTATAACGAAGATTTATTCTGATATTTCTAATGAAATAAAGTTTATAGCATTTTTACTTACAAAGTCGTTGTTCCTAATAAAATGAAATACACATTTTTTTTCAAATTTCAATGCTATATAAAAATACTTTTGTAAATAATCGTACCTGAAAACAATTCAGTATATGAAGTAAATATTCTTAATATTTCAGACAAATTTGTCCAGCAACAGATCAAAATATTCTAAAACTCGTCAACCATGAACGTATCATGATCTTATCTTTTTCCTCGATTCATTCATCTGACTCTGTTTTATTAAAACAAATTCTGTAACATCTTATAACGTATATATATTTGATTTTATAATCAAATAACAACGAAATTTATTCAACCTTTGCTGATTATAATCAAGAATACAATATTCATCTATATTATTTACAATTTTATATCGATAAAATAATCTTAACAAAGACATTGTGTACAGTTGTTATGGCAATTCTATCATTCTGTAACTGACATTATTCTTTTTCATTTTTTTTTCTTCCAACATAGAAGTGTAAAATCATGTGAAACCAATGACAAAACAAACATCTACTCATTTGATCGAAAGAAAAAAGAGCAACACAACATATAAACAACAGATAAGTCTACACAGCACGCATTTCATCAACAGTGTGCAATGACAAATCAAATTTTCACCAACTTCCTCACGTTACCGGTAGAACTTGTCTACCGAATTATGGATCATCAATCGCCTCTCACAATCCTATGCTCCATGAGAAACGTGTGTCAACGATTCAACAAGATCGTCGACAGTTATCATAGATATCAGGTAAAACTTTTTCTATCATAAAGCTCTAGTTTTTATCTATTATATTCCAATATAACATACATGAATAAACTCTTTGTCACTCAAAATAACTTATCGAATATCGTTCTATCCCTCACAAATTCATTTCTTATTTTATGAGAATAGTGCTCCGATAATCATAAAAAGTAATTTCTTTTTTCTTTTCTTTTCAATTTCAACTAAACATTCCGCGTTTCAAACTAGGTATGATGTCATAAATATACAATGTTTAGAGAAGAACGACAAAAAAAGAACAAAACATTATTATTTTCTTTGTACGCATATCTAAGTATTTTTTTTAAATAAGATTTCCATGATAAAAACTAGCTTTTGAAAGAAATTAACTTTCATTAAGCTACTTTATCTTCTTATGAATAACATCCTCTGTATTTCCATGAGAAATACTTCCGATAAATACACCTTCACCAGCACACACAATTGTGGGTACAGATGACGGCGGATGTAAATGGAGAGCAGATTGACTCACAACAACATCCACATTCTCATCCATTCATACCCATACTATGAACGCGGAATATTTCTACAAGGAATGCTACTTCTAAAGCAAATTTTTTCCCAAATTGTTGCTCCGAAACGGATTTCATCTAAAGCACACTATCTCAAGGAAGAAGTTTAGAGAATCATTCGTCAACGATATCTATTATATGACGTTTTCGTATGCACTCGTGTTCTACTCTTAATGAGTTTAACATTACACAATAAACTGTTTGACTTTTCACTTTTCATAAATCCATGTTGCCTCATGAATGCAACCGTATGGCAACATCAAAACCAACATCTATCTTCACTTACATAAAACATGCATTAATAACGCTAAGTTCAATAACTTACACTTAACTTTCATACAAAAAATATATCGAGTCTGAGCAACCACCGTGAAAGAAAACCGTTCACTAACTACCGACAAGGAACTATCTTGCATCACACATACAGAAAACTCAAAAGCGCCGCACCATACATTGCTATACTCTAAACCATTTAGGGTCATACAGGACATATATTACTACACTTGACAATTGTTTTGGGCAGAAGTAACCTAGAGACTATTTTTCGTTAACCGAAAAGTCTTCGTCACTCCACAAACATTTAAGGACTAAGGCAATTCATAGATAGAAAGTTTCTATCTCTAATTCACCCTTCATACTTCTTCTTAGCCTAGATTCTCAAAAAACATTATCACACACAATGCAGTATCTAAAATTCAATAAACATTCATATTGGTATATATAGGTACTATATCGAATCGGGTCAGAACAACATTAAGTTGACTGCTCTAACCCTATATAACACCAACAAACTATTCTATCTATTCATGTCTACCGTATCTTTACCTCCAATTACTTATCTAGGCACTCACCACACTCAATCTCTGGAACATTCAAATCGGAGATGTTAAAGCACGATCTTTGGGTGATGCATTAAAACACAGCACAGTAACTCTCTTTCTTTTTTTTTCTACAGCATGTCTTTACCTCTACTTTTTTATCTAGACACTCACCACACTAAATCTCACGAACAATCAAATTAGAGATATTGGAGCACAATCTTTGGGTGATGCATTGCTACATAACACAGTAAGTCGCATTCTTTCTTTATCTATATCGTGTCGTTACCGCCACTTTTTCATCTAGTCACTCACCGAAATCATTCTCTGTGAGAATGAAATCGGAGATATTGGAGCACAATCTTTGGGTGATGCATTACAACACAACACAGTAATGCCAATGCTCCCTTTATCTATGCCATGTCTTTACCTCTACTTTTTTATCTAGACACTCACCACACTAAAT